GGGAACGCACAGGAGTGGAGCTCCGGCAGTAAGGAGCCCAGGGGTCAGGCACATGCAACAAGCCCCGCCCCCTGATCCCAGCAGCCCTCAGTCGGGCCACAAGGAGCAAGAAGCAATCAGGTAAGTCCGCCCCCCCCAGCCTGCCTTCAGGTACAAGCTCTCCCTCCTCTGTGAGGACTGATCTGCATGTTCTCCCCCCCCCAATAGCTAGCAATCCAAAACAGTCCAGTGGAGTCTGAGCAGTGGGTGTTGCCTTCTGACACACTTCCAGTGCTGTCAAGGGGTGTGGCATATGCAAATAACTTATGCAAATAAGTTATCCTAATGAGCTCCTGCACCTCTTTATCTATGAAATGACCCCTGCTCACATCATAGACTTAACTGGTATTCCATTTTAGAAGATAAAAATCTTCATTTTTCTGGAAGGCCTCCAAATTAGATCAAGGTGGGTTATCTCTGTTCAATATTGAAGGTGATGATTACAGAATTAGAAAACAGTGTAAATAAACAAAACAGCCCAAGTTATGGTATACCATTAACCAGTGGTGTCAAACATGCGGCCCCTGGTGTTGAATCATGCCCTCAGAGGGCTCCAATCCAGCCCGCAAGGACCTGGCTGTTTCCTGCTTCCTTTTTGAGCTCTGCTGTTGCTGCCACATTGCGGCTTGCTTTACCAGACTTTCCCAATCACACAGGAGAGATAGATAAGCAAGTTTGTCCTGTGCGATTGAGAGAGTCTGGTAAAGAACTGGCTGAGACTCCCCCCCCTCCTCCCAGGGGGAGAGAGGGAACTGGCCAGGCTGCTGCAGTCCTATAGGAGACAAAGGGAAGCCTTTCTTTCCTTCCACTGGCTGAGGCTCCTCTCTAAAGGGAGGGAGGGAACAAGGGAGAGCTTGCTTTGCTGGACTGCCTCAATTGCACAGGAGAAATACCAAGCACTTTTAAGACCAACAAAGTTTTGTTCAAGGTATGAGCTTTTGTTTGCCTTGCTATAGTGTGTGTGTATTCTGCTGGGCTCCTTATGCTGTGGTTGTGTGTTTTGTTGGGCTTCTTATGCCAGGGCTCTCCTGAGTGCAACTGGGTTCCTTCCCGCTTTTCACTATATTTGTGCCCTCATGATCCAGTCTTTCTCAGTAAGAAAGCAATGCGAACTGTTTTAGAGGAGGAATAACAACAAGCCAGTGAGGTGGATTAGGCTGAGAGAGTGTGTCTAGACCAAGTTCACCAAGCACATTTCCTTTGTAGGAAGTTGTAGTTATTTCTCTGGGGAAGAAGTTTTGTAGACAAACACATAGCCCTCAGTCTGTGTCAGGATGCCTTCTCCTGTTCTTGATGAACACATGAAGCAATTTATGTACAAAAGCTCACAATGCCCAGCCATTTGAGGTTTTCCCCTGGGTCCTAGGCTCAGAACACTGAGCATGAGATTTCTGTAATGAAAGTCAATAAATTAAAAGTAGGTTTGCATCTTACAGATATACACCTGAACAGCATACTCAAGATTGATGCAGTAATTCAGAGCAAGATGTGTCAGTTATCAGAGACTGTTAAATAAACAAAATATTGCAAGAGTGCTAGTGTTTTAAGCATGTTTTATTTAAAGTTTTTTAAAAAATCTTTAATTGTGTTTGTTTGTGTCCTTTATAAAGTTTATATCTCTGCTACCTGGCATTACATTTTATGACACACATGGCCCGGACCAACAAGGTCTTATTTATGTCAGATCCAGCCCTCATAACAAATGAGTTCGACACCCCTGCCATAAACAGTGGAGGAAGTGGATTACAAACATAGAAGACAATGCAGTGGAGTAAGATGATACATACAGTAAACATTGCCATGGACTATAACCCCTTATAAAATTAAGCCCCTGCCTATTCAGTTGTATTATAATTCCACCCCTTTAGAAAAGCACCCTCTGAACATTTCTGTTTTGCACATTCTGCAGAATGACTTTACATCTTGACCTCTTCAGGCCAGCTATTCCCCAAGGGAGGAGCCACAATAGGGAATGCACATGTATAGGCAGTCACCAATATTACCTGTATGCAGGGTGCAACCTTCAGAAAGCTTTGCCCATAAAAGGAAAGCTCTTGCGACTGAGTTGGTCCTACAAGTATGTGGGTTCAAGGCTATTAACTAGCTTTCACATTTTTTATATGTTTTTAATGTAAAATGCTTCAAGGACAATTTTTGGTGAAAAGGCTAAAGTGTTCTAAATAAAATTAATAAATTTACATTAAAATAGCTAAGGTCAGATAGATCTTGGCGACTGATGGGGAAAATATTCTTAAATATCCATGTGGAACATCAGACTCCTCCCATTTTTATTCTCTAATTTTGTGTGTTCTTAAATGTATCCCAAGTTACATTACTCATGGAATCTGGGGAAAACAAGACTTTTCTGAGGCCTCGTTCTCACAAGCAGCAGAACAGGTGTCTCCATCTGGGCTTTACCACTTCAGACCACTGGCGGGGAAGGGGCAGAAAGAATGTATAACCGCGTGCTTCTCTATATTTTTTTTTAAAATTCCTGCAGATAGAAAAGTAGAACAAGGGAGAAGAGTCTTATCTTAGTCTTTCCTTTGACGTTCTAATTTCCTACATGAGGGAATCTTTTTGTGTGTGTCAAAGCTTTCATGCTGCCTTGAAGAGCTGCCAATTTATTTCATCAGAATAAGCTTTGAGGAGAAAATTTAAAATATATATATTTCTAAGGGAATGGTTTGATACCAGGAAACAACTTTAAAAAAAATTCTCTATGCAAAAATATAAATACAGTTATAAATGATGGTAACTCCATATTCATTGAGCAAACTTCAGAGGACGGCGGAAGACAGGAAGGCCTGGCGTGATCTGGTCCATGGGGTCGCGAAGAGTCGGACTCGACTGTGCGACTGAACAACAACAACAACAAAACTCCATATTCAGGCCTTACATGTTTGTGTTACTCTTTACTCAAAATTATGTATGTAAAATACGGCTCCTGATTGCTGGGATTAAAAGAACTGAAATACCAAAGTATTGTGCTGAAATTACTACTGGCTCAGAACATTGTTTCAGGTATGAATAATACCTGGATATTTCTGGTATGAATCATACTTGAATACATGTGAACTTGAGTAAATCCACTGTTTCCCCCAGCAATGAAGTGAAGTGAGCAGGATACTCAGAAGCCCTAATGTTCTTGCATTCTGAGTGATGAAAGTTTAAGTTTTCCTTGAACATTCATAGAGATTCACTGATTTTTTAATGTGGGTGAAAAAAATATTTTTCCATGACTCCAAAATATTTCCCCCGGTACTCTGCACCTGCCCATTCTTGCCTGCTTTCATCACCAGGCATTCTACTGCTCTGGCACATGGCCTTTTCTTCTAAGTGAATTCTGGAACAGTGTGGCTTTTCCCCCTAATTGCAGTTTAGCAGACAATTTCTAATAAAAAGACAATAATATATGTACTTCCTGCTATTCGTATGACATTTTTGCAAGTCACTTAACTCTGTTAGGTTTTCTTCTGAGCAAACAATGTTGTGCTGGTGAATCCATCACTCAGATGAGACTGGCTTTTTACTGAACTGCCCCTCCTTGTGGCCAGAGCTCTTGTTGACCTCACAGTAGCAGAGTTGACTAAATGAGTTTGGGAGCGATATCTGAAAAACAGCTCTCCTGTAGACTGCAACTGTGCTTTTTCATTTGGAATATCGCCCCTGATCAGAGGGAGGAAGGGAGGGAGGGAGGGAGGGAGTGTGTGTGAAGTGCCATCAGGTTACTTCCAATTTGTGAGGACCTTATGAATTAATGACCTACAAAATGTTATATTGTTAACAGCCTAGCTCAGACCTTGCAGACTGAAGGCCATGGCTTGTTTGATTGTGTTAATCCGTCTCATGTTGTGTCTTCCTTTTCCCCTTCTGCCTTTAACTTTTATTGCCTTTTCCAATGACTCTGGTCTTCTCAATAACTGCAGTTTATTTGGAAATGTTCATTCTCCCATAGTTTCACGGTTCCATATGGTTATGAAGCAGTTATGAGCTATATTGATTACAAAAGCCATTTTCATATTTGAAATGTTTTAGACTTTGCAGAGACGTTGGTTTGTTTACTTGCTTTGGTATGTATAATAAAACAAGTGGAAACCTGCAATACTCACAGGGAGGGAATCCCTCCCCCCAATTGCTGCTGATTTCCCCATGGGGGGAGATGCTCAGTGTGGGGAGACTCATGAGGGGGATCCCATACCCCCCCCCATGCCAAGCCTGGTGCAGCTCCTCAGTCCAGCAGCTTCCATCACTGCTCGGCCCAGTGTAGCTGCCAGCATCCTCCGACACCACTGCCAAGCCCTGTGCAGCTGCTGGGTATCCTCTGCCAGTGCAAGCTGGGGGTAATCCCATATCCCCCCCCCCCGTGCCAAGCCTGGTGTGACTCCTGAGCCCACTGTCCACCATGGCGCCCACCATGGCTCTTGGCCTGCCATGCTGCCTATGCCAGGCCTGAGGTAGGTGTGTTCTCCGTGCTTGTGCAGATACTTTTTTATTTGGGGGGATTTTATTTAAACCCCCTTTGTTTGTTTTTAAATCAGATTTTTCTGCAAGCCTAGGGGGTGTCCTGACTTTGCAGAAACATCAGTTTAGTGCCTGTGTGGCCTTGATCTGTGAATTTAAGTATCCACAGATGGGTGCCACACACTGCTAATAATATATAGATTAGTATATTTACTTAAATATTTGATCATCTCCCTCGTATGAGTTATAGTCTTAACTCTCTGAGATAAGTTAGGTGGAGATTGTATTAGTGGCCCAAGGCACGCAGCAAGCTTCTGTAGAGGGGATTCTATTCCAACACTCTAACCGCTATTGCATACCGGACAGTATAATTTTTTTAATGCAGCTTGTGTTAGTCCTGCAAAGAATATTTTGAAAAAAGCATACTTTATAATTGAGTTTTTCTTCTGTGAAGTGAAGATGGATCTCCTCATTTTGTTTTCTCTTTGTTCTGGAAGCCCAACATAGGAAGACTAGGCATTCCTCATGGCCCTTCAGGAGAGAAGGTGGCAGTCGTGACTGTGGATGATTGTGATACAGCGGTGGCTGTACGCTTTGGAAGCCTTATTGGAAACTATTCTTGTGCTGCTCAGGGAACACAGACTGGCTCTAAAAAGTAAGAAAAGGTGTTTTTTTTTTTTAATATTCCTTACCTGAGATTGTCCATTGATATGCAGCAGATACTAATCAGGCCCTTCCTTCTACTCTCCTGGATGTTCTTAGGATGCACAAGCCAAACTCTGTCAAATGTGACTACAAGCAAGAGTCCGCATTTGTGCACTGAAGTAGAATAAGAGATAATACAACAATACTTTCTTAAACACCCAACCATAAAACCATCAGGGCTGCAAAGGATAAAAAATATTGAATTTTTAAAAATATACAATTTTTAAAAATAGACCCCTTTCCCCAGGATTACAATCTAAGTGAACAACCCATAGATAAGTGGAAAGGGATTAGGAAAGTTGTTGGAGGATAAAACTGCTGATGTAAGATATTTCAATCACTGGGAAGAGACATGAACATCTATATGCCCCAAGGTGCTTCTTAAAGAGCAAGATGGGCTGAATCCTGCACATATCTGAGGGCAGTGAGTTCTAAAGGAAAGAGGCAGCCAAATTTGGTGGGTGAAGGCATGAGAGGACAGGTATAATTTTTACTCTTACTGGAACATTGATATCAGAATAATGCAGATCTGTAGAACAAGTATGAAGAGAAGTTAAAGGGGAAGGTTAAGATGAAGCAACAGAATGCAAACATTTAAAAATAAATACCATGTTTACTCAAAAAGAAAGTTGCCCTGAATGTAAGATGGCTGAGAATCTCAGTTTGCATGTTCCACCTCTTGCAAATGAAGGTGACTAAGTAAAGAGTCACTAAAATGATTTGGGAAAGGAATGAGAAGTAGAGCATCTTCCCATTGAGTGTTGGTGTTTTTTTAGTTTAAAAGGAATATAATCCAGGTGATGGTATAATAAAATTATAAAGGAAATAAATAGAGAGTCTGTCTGTCTGTCTGTTAACAGACAAAAGGAAGCACTGTTTCACACAATGCATAGTTAACTTGAAGAATTCACTACCACAATATTGCACACTGGCTGAAATGCCTTTTATAATTTAGATCTGTCAACAGCTGGTAGCCATGGTAGTTAGGCTGGTAAATGGGCCTCTGAATTCTAGTATCTGTGTACAAACAAGGGGAAAGTAAGGCTGCCTCTGTGCCCTTTTGTAGGCTTCTAGAAGCATCTGTTGAAAAATGGTGCTACAGTTGATGGACCCTCAGTGTGATCCTGCAGGGCCCTTCTTTTGGTCTTGTTCTAATCCCGGAAAGGAAGAACCTATTATTGCACTGGGTTTCTTTAGGGAAAGTTTTTTTTAAAGAGGGCTTTGGGGGAGGGATTTCGTGCACATTATCTGACACAAAGTTCACCAGCTTTCTTATTCTTTAGGTCTTTGGATCTAACTGGCCCCCTGCTCCTGGGAGGAGTGCCAAACTTGCCTGAAGATTTTCCTGTGCACAATAGACAGTTTGTCGGCTGCATGAGGAACCTTTCCATAGACAGCAAGCCAGTTGACATGGCCAGCTACATAGCAAACAATGGCACTCTTGCAGGTACAGAGCCCCACACTACAGTACTTTTACAGCAACATGTGGCATACCCAACCTGCATTTCAGCTTTTTAATTTTGCACAATATAATACACCTAAGACGTCTGTTTTCCTAGGAAAGTAAAATGGCTGCCAGAGCCTTCTAAAACATTTGTTCATAAGCAGATTACTAAATACTTTAATGCATATAGGGTGGAATCCAATGCATATATACTTGGAGTGACATTCTCCACCAACTTTCCTACATACACTCTATTCATTTGTAATATGACCTGTGTGGGAACCCAGTACAACCCCCACAGTAATTAATGGTGCTTCTGTGGGAAAAGCATTTGGTGGATTGAGCAGCCTTGATGTATGAGTAATTTTCTCAAATAAGGGCAAAGCAATAAATTGGTTTTGAAAACTGCAGTTCTTTGACCATTTACTGTGACACAATTTGGGTTGTCTGAAGATTAAATGGCACTTAAGAAGTGCCTACATTCTGTACAAGCCCCTCCCACTGATGCAAAGTTTTCTGGGAGTCAAGCCACCATGTGCTTCATTCATGGTTACAGCAGAATTCAAGCTCTGCGGACCTTGTCATAGGGCCAGAGCTGACCTGTGCTAAGACTTCCTTGTCCAGAGCTCCCAGGGATTTTTTTAAAGTTGTTACCAGGTGAGCAACAGATAGGGATCCTCATGGCACAAGGAAAGAGGGGTTTTATGATGTTCTGTTTTACCCTTGAGAATAAACAGCTCCTGGGGTTGTTTCAGGTCAGGAAAACAGTGGGGGAGGGGTTCTTAAGTTCTCCCCCCTTTCACTTAAGGTTGCCAGGTCTTTCTAAGTTACGGTTGCCAAGTTGTGGTGGGGGATCGTAGATCTTCACAGAATCCTTGCCACGGGGACAGCAAGACACATTGCACCCGCCGTCGCCAGGATCTGACGCTACACGTCGCTCTGGCAGCGGGGCTCCAAACAGCCCCGTTGCCAGAGCGATGCATAGCGTCATGTCCTGGTGACGGCGGTGCAACGCATCTCACCGTCCCCGCGGCAAGGATTCTGCAAAGACATGCAGATCCCCCACTGCGATTTGGCGAGATTTGGCAGGCCTATTCCAAGTCCACGTTGGGGAACTTTGGGGGGCATTACTAGAGGGGGTGGGGAGATCCACAATGCAATGACATCACACAGAAGCGACATCATCATGTTGGGGACCAGCACCCCCCACCCCCGCTTCTTGCCAAAAACATTTAAAGGGTCCCTTTAAATGCTTTTGGCAAGAGATGGGGCCCCCACATGTGCCTGCACTCCAAGCTGCGAATTCATGGTTTGGAGTGCAGGCGCACAAGCCCCTGCTTCTTCCTTTAAATGCTGTTGGGAAGAAGCGGGGGGAGGTCACATGCGCCTGCACTCCAAGCCACGAATTTGTGGCTTGGCATGCAGGCACACATGGGCACCCCTTTTCCTCCCTCAGTCCTGTAAGATTCAAAGGGCCCTCCAGCTGATCAGTGGGCCACGTGCTCCTGTCTTTGAGCTGGAGGGCCCTTTAAATCTTGCAGTAGGGATGGCCGGGTGGTCACTCTCGGGGGCAGGACTATCCCCCCACTGGCCAGATGGCTGGCGGTGGGAAGGAGCCCCTGCAATCTGGGGAGCCCCCGCTCAGACTAGGGGTCTGGCAACAGTACTTTTACTCCACAGTCATATCCCAATTGGCCTGCCACGTGCCAGATAACTGAGTTTCAAAAATCCCAGAAAACTCTGGACACAGAACTCCTAGCTACAAGCCTGGATGGGCCATGAATTGTCAGTCCAGAGAGACCCTTCACCTGCATGCTGTTCCTCCTGTCATGTAGAAATCTGCTCTTAAGAATTTTTTCATACTTCAAAACTGCGTGGTCCAGCAGTTGGGATTTTAAAAGGGAGAAATCCCACTGGAGCGACAGAGCATTTCATGCAACACCCTCCCCCACCTTGCAGTCCAAGCCCTCTTCACTGTTGCTGTTGGCAAGAATGGAGGTGTAGACTTTCAGAAACTTAACAATGAGATATGCTGCAGCTTGCCCTTGGCATGAGGGAGCGAGCCATGTGCATACAAGTGCATAACAATTTAAGGCTAAATAGTTTCTGGTGATGTTCCAGGCTGTGCTGCTCAGAAGAAATATTGCACCACCAACTGGTGTCAGAATGGGGGTACCTGTGTGAACAAATGGAATACCTACTCTTGCAACTGTCCCCTGCGGTACGGTGGGAAAAACTGTGAGCAAGGTAAGCCCTTTTCATCCTTGTTTCACTGGCTGAGTAAAATATCCCGTAATGTTTGAGCCAGCTGGAATTGGTACAGGGCAGCCCTGCAGCAACAATGTGGCACACCTGCCTTGCATTTTAACTTACCAGGTGCCTTATGAAGCCCTCTTTTTACAGCTCACTTAGGACAATAAAATGGGTTGTAAAAATCGTATGCTGGGCCACCAGATCTGGATAGTATGCTGTTACTCAGCTGTAACAGGGCAATTAGTTCCATGTACAGAAAATGAAATTTAGCTCAAACAGGAATCCCCAGCCTTTTTGAACTTGTGTTCACCTTTGCAATTCTGACACAGGGTAGTGGGTGCAGGCACAAAATGGCTGCCACAGGAGACAGAGCCAACCACAGAATGCCGGGAAGTGAGGTTATTGCAAAGTACTGGGTTCGCCGCATGGAGGACTCGGACAACGACATGCGTCCACACACGTTTATTGTACTTCACGCAGGAACTGGAAAACGGCTCTGCAAGGCCAACTATATATACACCCACCCAGCACACCCCCAGTCCCGTTGGAGGGTTAGAATTTCCCACCAAAGTGGCTATTGGTGAATGCTGGGGGAACTACGATCCTAGGCTTCTATTGTCTAGAGGAGCTAAGCTCCTTACTGTAGCCGCGGACCCCCGGTGGCGGCCCGCGTACATAACAGTTATGTGTAGCTTTAATAGTAACTCTTCAACGTTTCAGGCAGCATCTCTGTTTAACAGGAAGCCTTTTTAGTTTAACATATTTTTATAAACTGTTTTCTTGCATATATACAGCTTGCATTCAGTCATGCAGTGAAGATCCTTGTGCTTTGGTGGTAGCTGTTGCCAAAGCTTGTTTCAGACGTCTTGCTGGGCAGAAGGTCCATTTGGCCCTACTCACTTTCTAAAAAAATATTTAGTGGGTGCCAGAAAAGGTGTCAATAGACACCATGGCACCCATAGGAACCACGTTGGGGACCCCTGAACTAGAGGATTCCACTTTAAAATGGGTCTGATTCCATGTACTTCAGGGAGAAGAAATAGCATTGAATTTAGACATACTGGCTTATATGGCTCAGGAATCAAATGTATTTATTTAAACATTTATTAGCCACCTTTCGACCTAGTGGCACTGAAGGTAGTTTACAATATAAATAAAACAACTATTATAAAGCACATAAAAGATGACAGTTTACAATCTCAATTAGGACTGCCGGTATAAATAAAAGCTAAATTAGTCAAAGTAAAGGTAAAGGTAAAGGTTCCCTTGCTCGAAAGCCAGTCGAATCCGACTCTAGGGTTGCGGTGCTCATCTCCGTTTCAAAGCCGAAGAGCCAGCGCTGTCCGAAGACGTTTCCGTGGTCATGTGGCCGGCATGACTAAACACCAAGGCGCACGGAACGCTGTTACCTTCCCACCGAAGTGGTACCTATTTATCTACTTGCAATTTCTTGCTTTCGAATTGCTAGGTTGGCAGGAGCTGGAACTAGAGACGGCACACTCGGGTCTCGAACTGCTGAACTACCGACCTTCCACAGCCTGCAGTTTAGCGTCTTAACCACTTGAGCCATCGCAGCTCCAAAAATTAGTCAAATAAAACTGTCTTCAGCTGCCTCCTAAAGATCAAAGTGAGGGGGCCAGAGGCAGTTCCCTGGAGAGGTTGTTCCATAATTTGGAAGCTGCCACCAAGAAGGCCCTTTCTCATGTGCCCTCCAGATGAGCTTCTTTGATTGATGGGACTGTCAGGAGGGCCTCTCCCTTTGTTCTTACCCAAGTCATGTACGGGTTTAAAAACAAAAACACCTTGAATTGAGTTTGGGAGCTGATCACTAGCTAATGTGGTTGCTGTAGTATCAGGGTAAAGCATTTGGTGGTCCAACTCACTGATAATCCCAATAGCTGCTTCTGACCAGCATTCTGCACTAGCCACAGAATTCTGCAGTTTCTGAAACCTCTTAAAGGGTCATTCCAAGTAGTGCTCATTGCAGTCCGTCTAGATATTAAAAGATGCAGTTTTGGGGTGTGTCCATAAATTCACACCATCCTGCTCCAAATTAGTTCTTGTGAATAGCTATCAACTTCTTGTTTTTTACTCTCAATCCCTAATACAAATAATCCACACTACAGAGATAGGCATTAATTGAAAGTAAAAGTCTTTAAACACCTTTGTCATTGTGATCATAAATGAATGGTTAAAGTAACAAATCTCCATTAAGTACTCTTAAATATGGTTCCTAAAGATACCATGTAGCAGGATTTAAAGGGGAAGAAAGAGGTCATTAGTTATCTTGATTGATGATATTTTATAGGTCAATGGTTTTTAAACTTTCTGCCTTCTGTGTTGATTCCTCTACTGAGAACTCCCTCCATGCCTTCCAGAGAACTCCAATGTTTTGGAATGTAGGCATGTTCTAGGTTGCATATGTTGGTTCATACTGGTTACTGACCAGGCTCCTAGAGCCTCAATATTATCCTACTTGAATTGATATTGTTCCCCAGAAAGTGTGTGTTCTCTAGTTTCCTAGTGCAGGAGAAGATTACTAATAAAAGTAACAAAGGCCCCGGTTACACGGAGGATTTGCCGTGCTAAAGGCACGAATGTCAGGCGGATTTTCGGGGCGCGATCACACCGCAACATCTGGGAAGCGTAGCGCACCCATGGCCAACCCATGGCATCCTACCAAAGATGCGCAGTAAAAAAGTACCTCGGAAAGTGCACTAGTATCCGGAAAACGTGGGGTAGGGGTGGGCGTCTGATCGCGGGAGCGCTAGTATCTCGTGGCACTCGGCACCCGTCCACGTCCCGTTGCAAACCGGATGTTTTGCGTAAGCGCATGGGCACAAACACGTAACTGAAAGCAGTGCTGCTCCGCGGAACTGCGCATGCGCACAAACGCAAAACACTTGCCGCGCCGCTTCTTTGCCACGCTCCAGCATCGCCATGTGATTGCCAGCTAACAGTCTAAGCGCAAAGACTTGGGGGACCGTGTGTTCGGGCTACCGTGCTTTATTTTGCTCTGGAGCGAACAGCCACGCCCCACCCCCTGCGTTATCTGGCCCGTGTGACTGGGGCCAAAGATTGTTTATTACATGCCAGTGTCACTAGATGCTATGTACGTTATATATTTGAAAATGCAAAAAGTCCCCATGCCAGCAGAGATGCAGTCTAAAGATGATTACCCACAACAAAGACTGCAATCTTTAGTCATAGACTAATCTCTAAAGAGAGATTTGCATTGAAATGTTAGTGCCTTTCAGAATAATTGTGTATGTATAGTAAGATTCTTCTATCATTCACACTCATAAACAACACACTCATAAGCAAATCATTAGAGGTCTGCTTTTCATGTACACATATGGTAAAAATGACCTAGAACTCAGTGTTTTTGAAAGAAATGCTTATGCCACTGAAAGCTGAACCCTGGATTTCTTCTTGTAAAACTAATGAACTTGGAAAATGTCTTTTAACACCATGTTAATATGTAGACCTGATATGAGTCAGACCCCTTTTTAGTTTGTGTAAAATAGCCAGGTATTAGTCCCCTTGCAGTCCTTTCCCATAAATTCAGTTGGAACAGGCACTTATTTCTGTATTCCTGTATAATGTTGCTGCCAAAAAAAAATCGCTTTAAAAAGTTGGTTTGTTTTATTATCAGGGGGCCTCAAATTAATTACTTATTTCCCATAATGTACCTGTGAGGCAAAATGTCACATAAAGGGAAACAGGTAATGTCAGTAACAGAATCCATAGCAATTATGGCAAAGGGAAACCGAGAGCTGAAAGGGTGGGAACTGCTGGACTTAACTTCACACGTATTCATGATTTAACAGAGGGGAATTTCACATTACCTGTCTTCTCCCGGTTTCAAGCCAGGAGTCTTCCGTTTCCAGATGAACCGGTACAGGGCTGCCGTTTCACACACGGCTTGCCCCTACCGGAAAGGAGCCGATTCACAAGCGGTTCGGCGTTTCACACACGCACCGCTTTGTTTCCCCACGGTTTTTTTTTTAAAAAAAGTCCGTCTTATAGCGATATATCGATATACCAGTATTCCAGTGTATTCCAATGGGATCGCTATAGCGTTATATCGATATAAGCCGAACGTTCAAAAAAAAAAAAGCCCGCGCGGCCGAAAAAAGGCGGGAAAGAATCGTATCGGAACCGGGAGAGGGAACGGGAGACTCCTCGGAAGCGGTTGACAGGTAAATCGCTTCCCTCCCGGTTCCTATACGGAACAGAGACTTTTGAGTGTGAAATGGCAGTCAGATCCCGGTAGGGAACCGATTCTCAACCGGGTTCTGTCTGAAATGACAGACCAGCACCCGGTTGAGAATCGGTTCCCTACCGAGAGAAAGCACCTGTCTGAAATTCCCCAGAGTCTGTGAAAAGGGTAATCCTGGATTTAGAGGGATCTGTCAGATCCCTTATAAGGCCTTTCTTTTAACAACCCACCTTGAGCCACAAAAAACAGGGTTTATCAAGTTTTAGATGGGTTGAAACACACGGTGATGTGTGGATAGTATGCCTTGGATGCCCAAGGGATCAGAGTGTAATATGTTGCTTGGAAAATCTTAAACATAGTGGATAGGATCAGGAATTCCACTGATGAACAGTACTGAGGCCAGGAGAACAGCACTTCTGTTTGGGAAGGGAGGGCAATTTTGCCAATTTCCCCCTTGCACCAGAGGCCCCTATTTTGCCTTCCCCCCCCTCCATGAGGGTGCTTGATCCCTAAGAGGAGAATTTCAGGAGTCTGCAGCAGAAGGGGAGAGGTGTGGAAGTCCCACTCTGCCAGGATTGCTTTGTTGGTAGTGCTCTGAATCCAACTCAATATTAATTTCTTATGCTATTTTTTGTAATGTTCTGTGAGGAACTAGAAGCCTTTCCCACCTGCAGCTTTGTCCAACATGCCTGTAAACTAACTCTAGATACAAACATGACCCATCTTTTATTCCTGCTTTTTCTGCTCTGTCAAATCATTTTTGCCTCAGAGTTGTCTAGTTATCTTCTGCTGGAATTGTGCAGTGCAGTGTAAGTAGAGTTACATCCTCCTAAGTCCATTAACTTCAGTGGACTGAGAAGGGTATAAATCTGCTTAGGACAGACTTGTTTTGGGGGCTGCTGAAGGGTTTTACCTTGCCAACTTTAACTGCCAGAGTTTTCAGTCTCAGTCTACACTAGGGCTAGACATGAACTGGCTCACGAAATAAAGTTTGTGACAAATTTTGGCCGGGTTTGTGGTTCGTGAACGGATGTTCATGGCAGGTTTCCACAGACTTTCCACAGACGTTCAAGTGGTTAATGGCGGTTCATGAATTTCCAGACAGTCTCCACTCAATCAAAATGTTTACCAAACTTCAAAGGCAAGGTGAGGTTTCCTGTGCATTTGGTGTGTGTAGCTTGCAGGGGGTCCATTCTATACATATTTGAGCCTGCACCTGACATTTCCCCCCAAAGCACTTTCCTGGGGGGCATCTTATTTGAAGGGCCATAAGTCAGATTCCCCCCTAAGTCCAGTCTGCACATAACTTGGGGGGCATGTAGAGGAGCATCAGGGGGAGGTCCCCTGCTAGTTTGATGTCTCTAGTTTGCACAGTGTCTATTTTATACACTCCTGAATGTCCTGAACCTGCACCTGTCATTTCCCCGGCAAGCACTTTCCTGGGGGTACCTTCTCGGGGGGGGGGGACATAACTCAGACCCCATAAATCTGATCCTCACCAAATTTGGAGGGCAGATAGAGCTGGAGATCCCTTGTGAGTTTGCTATCTCCAGTATACTGCGGGGGGGGGGGACTGTTCTACCACGTCACAAACCAAAGCAATTTGGTGTCTAAATGTTGACGACGGTTCGTGGTTCACAAACCAGGCATGCCACAAACTGAAATGAAATGCACTTTTCCAGTTTGTGACCATCCGTAGTCTACGCAACTGTAATGGCACCTTTGCCCTGCCAATCACATTCCAGAGATATTTGAAGTGTGTTAATACAAGGTAGGGCTGCATTTTGACTTGTATATTATCATTAAGAACATGGTCTGCAATTGTACTCACTGAGTAGAAATGCATTTTGAATGACATTTAGAGGCTGGGGAAATGGTGCTAAATTCATCATAACTCTTTATCACCCTGCATTTCCTATAGGAGAGATGCTTTGTTAGTCGAACAATAGTTTGTCCGCTGCCTGACATATGGGAAAGTGGCCCGATAGGATTGGTCTCATTCAGCATCTCTTGTTGCTTTTGACATTTGTGATTTACAGTGCATTTGTGATTTACAGAGCAATTCTGAGGCAAGATAATTCTGGTTGTGATATACATGAAGAACTCCCAATTTTTTAGGCTGAAGTTTTGATTTAGATTTTGGGGTATATTTAAACTATTAGCTGAGTGATTTAGTCTTTATTACAAAATCCAAAGGTATCCGTTACATACAATGTTGACTCCTTACTTTCCAAGCAGAAATAAATCTTGGAGTCCTACACACCTTCATTGTGAGAAATAAGTAGTAAGATACCCAGGCTCTACAGAGGAACACAGTATCTCTCCACATACTTGCTCAGTTCTCAGAAATAATAGTATCCTGAGTAATTGTGTTAATAAATGTGATGCAATACTTGTTCACTCATTAATTTCCTCCTGCAGTGAGAAGTTATGTGCACACAGCTAAGATTTTGTACTAGATTGGAATTTTTCTTTGTAAAGTAATAAATAAATAGGTCTTTAGAGACTGGATATCTGTTTGGGTGTCTTGTAAATTGGTTGAGGGATCAGCATTTTATGTAGGGTTGCCTTTCTCCTGGCGGCTCTGGGGAAACCCCCAATTTTCAGGGCTTCAGCCCACCACCAGCAAAACAGGAACATTGCGTGGGGGACACTAGTATTTGGGCAAACTCTATGGTTTTGAAGCTAAAAAACCCATAAAGTTTTGCCCAAATACCAGAGCGTCCCCTGTGTGACTTCTTAGAGCAATGATGTCACTTCCGAGTGATGTCATCAGGTTGGGGACATCATGCAACATCCCTGCCCACTCCTGGAACACCCCCCCCCACATCCCCCACTCCAGCCAAGGTAAGACCTGGCAACCCTAATTTTATGCAGTATATTTGAAGGTCCAAAAATGCTTCCAGAGCCCAACTACAAGCAGCACCCCTAAATTAACTCAATAATATTTGCCTAATTTTCTGTTCTTCCTGGCAAAAAGCCATCACATCTTTGCTAAGAACCCTACCCACATCCACTTTCTATAGCTATAAAGTGTCTTAAGTAAGTTCTTAAGTCAGCTATTTTAGATTACTTGTGAGAATTTACTTGTATGTTTGCTCTCTTTTTTATCAGTTCAACCAAGAATGACTCAAGAAAGAAGTTTTTGTTTTGTTTTGATGTTATAAAGCTTTTTGTTAAAAGCCCCCCTCCTCTTTGTTTCAGTAATGCCTTTCCCTCAGTGCTTCACAGGGGACAGCATGGTCTTCTGGCATGATCTTGATATCACTGTTTCTGTGCCATGGTACATCGGACTCATGTTTAGAACTCGGAAGGTTAATGGCATGTTGATGCAAGCAAAGGCAGGAGCATCATCCAAGATCAACATTCAGGTACAAATATGTTCATTAATGCAACACAACCAGAAAATTTCCTTAAATAACAAAAGATAACCCTAAACTTAAATATGTGGCATTCAACTATAATGGATTTTGATCACTAGCTCAAGGACATTGTGTGGTAAGGTAATATTCTGACTTTTGAAACAAATCTGAACTTTATTGATTTCAGTAATTTATACATGGTTTTTTATAGCTGGGTAAACTGGGAGGGGCTGGGGTCTGTAAAGATATACACAAAAACATAAGAAGAGCCCTGCTGGATTAGACCAATGGTCCATCTAGCTCAGCATCCTGTCTCATACAGTAGCCAACCAGTTCTTCTGAACGGCCAACAACAGGGCATAGAGGCAGAGGTCTTCGCCTGATGTTGCCTCCTGTCTCTGAGATTCAAGATTAGTGACTCTGAATGAGCCAGATTACTTTGGTCAAGTTACTATGCAGGAGACTTTTGTGCTGTGATTTACCTGATTTTGGTGTTTGCTGTTGAGAAGAATTCACCAGAAAGAGTCCATGTCAGAATTTAATGCACAAGCTGTATAATATCAGCACTAACTACACTTATTCATGAGAACAATCTTATTAACGATATCAAATATAAATTACAATGCCTCAAAGAAGATAACAATAATTCCATCACTTATTTTTTCATTCCAGAACATAATAAAAATATTCCAATGTTCCACAAAAATGTATAACTTATTTCTGTATACTTAATAATAGCACAACAGTTTTTTAATAAGTCAGTTTTCCAAGTACAATTAAATCAATTGATCATTCATGAGGATTCTAATTTTTTGCAGCCCATGACAGTTATTATTTTAGTGGAAGAAAATAAATCTGCAGAGCGGTCGGGTTAGAACGGATAAAAGGAAGTACTTCTTCACCCAAAGAGTGATTAACACATGGAATTCACTGCCACAGGAAGTGGTGGGTGCTACAAGCATAGACGGCTTCAAAAGGGAATTAGATAAGCATATGGAGCAGAGGTCCATCAGTGGCTATTAGCCACAAGGTATAGCTAGGGGTTCTGGGGCAAGTGATGCTCTGTCTTCTTGGTGCTTGGGGGGGGGTCAACAGTGGGAGGGCTTCTAATGTCCTGGCCCCACTGCTGGACCTCCTGATGGCACTGGTATTTCTGGCCACTGTGTGACACAGAGTGTTGGACTGGATGGGCCTTTGGCCTGATCCAACATTGGTGTCTCTTATGTTCTTATGTTCTTATGTTCTTAAATCCATTATTAACTCTACATCTGAATCAGTAACAGATTCTCTTAGGTAGACAAGTACAATCACTTTGGGAACAGCAGGATTGGTGCAACACACCATTTCATTAACCCAATGATACTGTGCTAAAAAGGCTGAATTCTACAACATGTCCAGAATATATTGAATAAATGAGCTGGCAAAAAGCCCCATCTACAGCAAACATTTAATGGTATTCTATAACGAAGAGGATAATTTATGAGGGGCGAGGTACCATTGGCAAAGTACATTAAAAAGTCCTCTCTTCCATTTGTCAGCACCAATTTTGGGATGGCACATTTACTCATATCTAATATTTGCTCTTTGAAGAACTGCAGTTGGGCCATATTGTTTTCAGCCTAAACAATATGGAAGCTAGGAACTTTCACTTTTGGTTGTGGGTAGATGAAACTGTGACAAATATGTGTTAGTCTGTTTTGTTAAATAGATAGAGATGTTGGGTTTCAAACTGCTGTGGGTGCACTTAGATGCTTGTTATACAACTGGTTTTGGTTGATTTTTTCCATTTAAAACAAGACAGATTTCACTTCCAATCCTATTGCTAATGATTTCTTGATAATCAAGAAGAAATTCCCGGGTATCTGAGAACAGGGTTCAACCCAGTCTACTACATTTATCCAAATAAACACAAAACAACATCCTAACTACTTATTTCTCTAGTTCCCTCCCGATAGTGGGTGGGAATTAGGGTTCCTGTCTTATGGGTTACAGACTCAGAATTACACGATACATCACAGATAGTAAGAAGCTCCTTTCCCAAGCAGAGCCTATCGAATGCACGTGCTCAGAGGAAAATAGCTGGTTGAGATGACAGTGGCCCTGAGCCAATCAGAAGTCTCATTATGCAAGGAAGAATAAAATGACATCAGAACTTCTTGTGGTGTGAAATTATTTCTAGACAATAGACCATATATTAATTTATGTAGGTCTAAAACAAATAGAGCGTCCCAGGCAGATGGAATTACATAATATAATCTTGGGTAATTAAGTCTGTTTGTCATAATGATCAACCTAGATGTTACAGACAGGAAGGAACAGAGTTCAACGGGAGGGCATAATATAGGCAGACTATATATTCAAGAACAAAGGTTCAGGAAAGTATTCCTATAAAGGTGTGTGTGCGTGTGTGTTTGTGTGCTTGCCTGGAAGTCATGGTGACTTCTGGCGACCCCTACTGGGGGCTTGGACATTTTTCAGAGAAGTGGCTTGAGTAGCCTGCCTCTGCGTCTCACCTCTGGTAGTCCTTGGAGGTCACTCTTCTGAGTGCTTGCCAGAAGAGTGCCCTGCTTAGCTTCCAAGATCTAATGAGATCAGGCTTGCCTGGGCTATCCTGGTTAGGGGAAAGGTTTTAATACTCAAAAGGTCTTAAAACCTGCACAGAAAATAGGCATGTTTATTTGTACACAAGAAATTAAAATAATTTTTTTCAGCAATGAACAAAGTTTGTGTTTGCTTTCAACAGATACTGAACAACTATGTGGTATTTGAAGTCTACGATGGACTGAATCAGGTGGCAAATCTGAAGATGACCCAATCCCGAATGAGCGATGGAGAATGGCATCACTTGTTAATAGAGCTGAAGAGTGCAAAAGATGGGAAAGACATTAAGTACCTGGCTGTTGTGTCATTGGATTATGGAATGTATCAGGTGTGGTGACATCCATAATCTTTTGACTTTTTTGAAGGCATAAAAATAAGTCCAGGAAGGGCAGCAATGAGTAACCTGTCAAAATCTAGGTGGGATCCAAGCCCATATCTCCAGTAGACCAGAAGTCCCCTTTTCCCCCAATAGTGCACAGTTGACTGTACTATTGCCATGGTTCTAGGAAGCTAGATTTTGCAACTGTTCTAAAGTCCACGGAGTCTATTGTATATTAAACACCATAAGAAAATTTAGTTCTGCATGATGGCAGTCATTGTGAGACTGTAAAAGTAATCACTTGTGGAGGGTGGGGGAAATCAGTTTGTAAAAGTAATTGGATTGTGTCCTGCCAACGGGTCACCCTCAAAAACCCCCCCCCCACTGCTGGCGGGCCTGTGGCCTGGCGCGAGGGCCCGCCCATGCTCCCGAGCCAGTCGGCCCGAGCGTGGCTGCCCTCCAAAGTCCCGACCCGAAACAGGCAGCTGGGGCTGCAGCCTCTCCCAAGGCCCGGCGTCTCTAGCTAAATATGGGGGCAGGGCCACGGGGGGAGGAAGGGAGGGGTTGGGTCCAGGGAATGCTGGGGGGAGTGAGGAGGGGATAAAAGCAGGGCAGCAACAGGAGCCGAGAAGGATGACCTGGAGACGGCGGAGTCACTCCCAGAGAGACTGAAGGCAAGGCCTCCAAAAGGAGCGGGTTGGTAGGGTGGGGTGGCGTAACCCCCCTCCCCCGCTCAGGGAAGAGACTCCAAGGTGGCTGAGCGTCTGGAACACTCAGAATCCAGTGACAGCGAGGGGGGCGGGTCGTCAGATTCTTGTGACAGATTGAATTGAAAAATGGAACATTATGTCTTCTGGAAATGCTTCTTTATCAGAAAGAAAATGTGAACATTTTCTCATTCCATAACTACTTTATATTTATTCATGGTTATGTTTTTCTGTATTAGTTAACTACAGTGCTGTAACTGAGAATTTATAGGAATTTTGCCGCAATCTCCCTTAATCTGTTCTTCTTTTCAGAGTACTGTACAGATTGGAAATCAGTTGCCAGGACTAAAAATGAGAAGCATTGTTGTGGGAGGTGTCTCTGAAGATCAAGTCTCAGTGCAGCATGGTTTCTATGGCTGCCTGCAGGTGAAAACTAAAAATGAGTTATCACTTACGCGTCTATGTTCCTCTTTTTTCAACAGCCTGACTGTGGGGGAGGGAGGCAAAAAGCGTGTTTTTTGCTTTCTGCATCTCTTTCAAACTTTGTTTTGGAATAACTTAACTTTGAACATTGCTCTGTTTAAATTGACTGAAAGTATTTGGCACAATCTCATCTGAATGAATGGAGATTAATTTTAGGGGGCGTGTCATTGATTTCAATTAAACTAACTATGTCTGGATTGTATCCAGTTATTGTTTGCAGATTTTTACAGCTAGGTTTATAGAAGTCTGGCTTCCAATTTATGAGTTCCCATTGACTGACTCCATTTTTGCTGTGAATACGGAGATGCAGTTGCACTACCATATCTTAACTTGGAACACAAAGAATAGCCTCACTGTTTTTACCTCTTCCTTCCTTTTAGGGAGTGAGAATGGGGGAGACATCTACAAATGCAGCTACGCTGAACATGCATCAGGCTGGGAACATTAATGTCAAGGAAGGCTGTAAGGTGGACAATCCCTGTGATTCTAAACCTTGCCCCCAGCACAGCTATTGCCGTGACAATTGGGACAGCTATTCCTGTATTTGTAATCCAGGTAATAATGGCTGGTAGCAAACCAGTCAAAATAATAAGGTACCTGTGCATTCCAGATTTCTCTGATTGCAGCAGTGTTTACAGGATTTGGGAACTGTTGCACAATATTTCTGCCCATTATCATGTAAAACTATGAGATAAAATACATGTTACATTTGATACATGATGGGACATGGGTGTCTGACCCCCTTGTAGCTAAACATTAAAGCAGGAACTAACCTTCAAAGGCATTATTGTTGCCCTGTTCATCTCCAAAGGGGTAAGGAGAGGCTTCAGGCTTCCCTCCTGGGCTGTTTTTGCTAGCAAAAACAAGTGCTGGAGGGGCCGTTTACCCCTTCCTAAAGCGTCATGTGTCCATTCCCAAGTGAGGAGTCCAAGGAAGGGGAAAACAGTCACCACCCCTGCAGCTTTTTCTACTGGTGAAAGCTGCCTGGGAGGGAAGCCTAGAGCCCCTTCTTCCCCCTAGTAGCATTTGGGTTGTTGTGTTGGGGCAACAAAGATGTTTTAAAAGGTTTTTAAAGGTTAGTCCCCACTCTCACATTTGACTATGAGTTGGGTCAGGCACCTGTTTCCCAAGATGTGGCCAACATAACATGCATTTTGGCCCTAGGATCAAACAATAGGTTTGATCAATGTCTACACTGGAGCTCTCTCTTATTTTCAAATACTACAATATTGGCTGTATTACTACTGTAATGGCTCCTCTTTCAAGATCACAGACTGTTGGGAAAGTAAAGAGTGGCCCCGGACACACTAGCGGGAAAAGCCGTGGCAGAAGTGCACTTCTTAGAGCTGCAGCAAATTGAAGCGCAGCATCAGGATCAGACAGATCCTCCGAGCTGCGCCACATTTGCTCCCCGGCATGATCACATGCCGAGGGGGACGCGATGGGACGAAGGGTGAGGCGAGGCAGCTGTGCAGTTGTGCGCATGGGTAGTGTGGCAGGGTCTCGCATACCACGGGATACAGGCGCGTCGGCGATAACACGGCCGCCCATGTTGCGCGTTTCCCAGTAAGTAGTAGTCTTTTGCAGGTCTCTCTTAAATCCACATTTTCGGCCGGTTGCGACGGGTTGGGGGCGGATACGTGACGCTTGCCAGATGTTGGCATCTGATCGCGCCGGTTTAATCCGCCCTCAACCCGTCCTTTTCGTGGGGCAAATCCTCCCGTGTGACTGGGGCCAGTGTCGATCTAATGGAAAATAAGAAAACAGATCAGAATCTGAATAAAGAAGAACAGAGGGTATTGAAAAGCTAGACTGACACAGAAAAGAATCCCTATCCCATTAGTGGTGGATGACTATACTGTTGTCACATAACCAAGAGTGGTAGATGGTTGGGTTTACATTTGTTATCACTTAATTAATTAATGGTACTAAAAATTTAAATCTGTAGTATAAAGAGATATGGTTAAGGCATTCTTATCCTGAAAAGTAATACGAGTCATTGGCTTTCTCATCAATAAATGATAACATGGGCTTTGCATGCACCATCTTTTCAGTGGGGGCAGGGGAGATTACACCTATAGAAAAAACAGCAATTTCCTGAGCAAAATAATAATAATAATAATAATAATAATAATAGATGAGTACAATTTTCTTATAGTTACAAATGTTTTAGCTGGCAGAATGTTGAAGTTTCTCAAAATTAAGGAATCACAGAACTGAATTTTAGGGATGACAGTGAATAATTTGCATGGGACAGCAAATAATCACAGAATTCACTTTGTGATTGAAATAAAAGGAATTCTGTTTCTTTCACATTTTATCTCCTATGTGTCCTTATGTAGTTCAGTTTCTATCAAGTTACATTTTTGTTTGCAGCCAGGTCAAATAAATCACACCTTGAACTATTTCCTCTGATTTGAAATATTAGAGGCATTGGGGGGGCATATTATTCAGCCATTTTCTAAACATGCAAAGAAAATAAGTAGTTTAATAATTAATGTCTTAAGCACAAAATAAAACAAATGACACCTGAAGTACTGAAAAAATATAGCCTTTCAGCACTTTCGAATGTGACATTTGTAGATGTTGTCTTGCAAGGGCAGGAGAATTTAGTGATAGCTCCAGAGGTGTAATTAATGTGTACGCTTAAAATAGATTGACTTCCTGAGATACGCAAATCACAAGTTATACAGTGGCTGTTAGACGTCTATAACCTTGTCTCCCCAGGGTACTTTGGGACAGACTGCGTTGACGTGTGCAGCCTGAATCCCTGTGAGCATGTCTCCACTTGCGTGCATAAACCAAACTCTTCTCATGGATACACCTGTGAATGTGGGCAAAACTATTACGGCCAGTACTGTGAAAGCAAGTAAGCAGATCTTTTTGATTCCCTGTTACTTTTGTGGTATAAAATTATGTGGCATAAGAAGCTGCCTTAGACACAATGTGGCCCAGTCCTGCATTCTACTTTTATTTCTTTTTTGCTATGTACACTGATGTTCATTTTAAAATGTTGGGTACACATTGTAGTTCTAGGTTATTCATAATTATTAACAATTACAATAATAAGTGTTGTTATGTGGCAACCAGCTTATGGTGACCCCTCATTGGGGTTTTCAAGACAAGAGATGAGCATAGAAACATAGAGCTGGTGACTTCCACCTGTACTTCAGCCTCTCTCTCTTGCCCAAGAGAGCAGGGAAACCTCCATTCATTCCCCAGTCCAGCCAATTGTGGAGTGGCTGAATTTCTGCTGCCTCCCAGGGACGAAGACTGCCATGGGACAGTCCCTGTTTTCCCGCACTTTTTGGCCTTGGGGCAGCTGGGAACTGTAGGCCAGCAGATGAGGAAGCCCCATTCAACCCAGTGAGTGATACCCCTGTAGGGCCCCTCTCTGGAACTACAGCTCAATTAAACCTTATGGGGGAACATTTTACACAAAGAACCACAGCCATCTTACAAACACAGGTAACTGCCATTTTGTGACACCTACCAACAGCCACTGAGGGGAAAGTTAGTCCCACACAGGAAAAGTGTCTTCATCAAGAGAGAAAGCCATTTGCCAGTAATTGTCACAGGGCACAGTGGATGAAGGGGAAGTGGAGCAGACCCAGCACCCAGCCAGTGGCACGCGAGTACCCTTGAGTGGCAGCTGACGGGCCAATGGCTGAGGGACAGCATAGAATCTTGCCACCCCAAACCAGGATTATAATATAGGAGAGATAAGGGGGGACCTGTGAGAAACTCATAGGTAAAATGGCAGTTGCTTTACAGAAATTCAAAAGGGGTGTGTGTGTGTGTTTTCCCCTTACACTGGCAGTCCTGGGGGGGGGGGAGAGGGTAAATTAGAAAGGTGCTTAGTAATGTGGCATTAGGGTGGGGGAGGTGAATATTCCTAGCCAGAGAGAGAGAGAGGATGGCTGCTGCATCTTTGAATATGAATCTCCCCCCATAATATTGCTTCCATTCCATAGTTTAATGTGAAAGAAGAGGCCCCAGGCCAGAAGAACAGCATAGGCTAGGATGGGATGGGGGAAAGTCAGTTCTTATGAGATTCCCCTTAATTTGGGCACTTCATTGTGTTTGGAGGGGGGTTAGTTGTTTTCTCATTGTCCAGCTGCCCGGGGGGAGGGGGGACAGAGTGAAGCCCCTGCCTTCTCCCCCTGTCTGCTGATCTTTACCCATCTTCTTTCTCTGATTCAGACTGGGACAGCAGCGCCTTAATCTCCCTGCCACCCCCACTTCCTCTTGCCCATGTTTTTTCCTGGTTGGGGGGGGGGGGGGGGAGAAACCAACAACGTTTTACTTTAAATGCATTCTCAAAGCCCCCCCCCCCCGCCACCTGGCTTGGTCCCTGGCAGAGGTGGGGAACATGAAGATGAAGAAACAAATTGGCGCAGAGGGAAATAGAATCCTATATATATAAAAGCCCTAGCATATTGGCACGTTCCAGCTCTCCCATTGGTTGGGGACTGGGTCCGCTCCTCTCCCCCACCCACTGCCAGCTGGCCCCTCTTCCCTGTCAGAATAAACTGCCAAAATGGCTGTCTCTCCTAACAAAGACACTTCTCCTGCTGCTTGGCTCCTCTGCGGTTGGCTGGCTACTGAGGTGAGCAACTGGCCATCAAACCATTCTCTTCTCCTCCTCCTGCTGTGAGGTTCATTTTCCCTTCAGTGGCTGTTGCTAGGCAACCAAGATTGGTCTTGGCAGTAAAAAGGCAGGGGCACGAGGCCCTTTCTAGGCCTACTTTGTCCTTTGTGGGGAACTCATTGGAGCCAGTCCTGACAAGGGTTGCCAGCTCCAGGTTGGGAAATTTCTGGAGATTTTGTGGTGGAATCTATGGAAGCCAGAGTTTAGGGTAGGGTTGCCAAGTCTTACCGAAGTAATACCAGGGGAGTCCAGGGCCCTCTCCGGGCCCATAGAGTTTTCAGGGTGATTGCTAGAGCGTCACCCGGCGACTTGCCCAGCGTGATGACGTCACTGCCGGGCACGTCAGCCCTATCTGGCCACTTCGGGGGTGGGGTTCCCCCCACCGGCCGAATCCAGACTGGCGGATTGGGGACCCTTTTAGCAGGGGAATCCCCACCCCCTGGGGGGACTTGGCAGCCCTAGTTTGGGGAGGAGAGAGGCCTCAGCTGAATAGAATGCCATAGAGTCCACCCTCCAAAGCAGTTATTTTTTCCAGGGGGAGAGAGATCTGTTGCCTGGAGTTCAGTTGTGATACCAGGCAATCTTCAGGCTCTATCTAGAGGTTGGCTACCCTAGGCCTGGCAGCACCCTCTGGGTGACTTGATGACACCTGACTGGCATAACTTAACTAGGCATAGCTGCTTGCTCCTGTTCACCAGCAGTAGCCCCCCAGGGCAGCCAGTGAGGCATAGCAGTTAGCACTTCAGAGTCGGGTCTGCCAGACCCAGGTTCTTCCTGTGGAAGCTGATTGGGAGATTTCAGATCACTCACAGAATTTTAGCCTGACCTACCTCACAGGGTTGCTGTGCAGATCAAAAGGGGGAGAGAATAATTATATGAGCTGTTTTGGTCCCCACTGTGGAGAAATACTGTACTTTTCCTAGGTAGAGGCTGCAGGGGAAGGAGATGGAAAGCTGAAGTCAGAGGGGCAGATAATGGTACACTGATGGTTGGCTGGGAAGGATATAGGGTTGCCACCTCCAGGTTGGGAAATTCCTGGATATTTGAGGGGTGGAGCCTGGAGAGGGTGGGGTTTGAGGAGGGGTGGGACCTCAGACACGTACAATGCCATAGACTCCACCCTCCAAACCGACCATTTCCTCCTGGGGAACCATTGTTGCCAAATATCCAGGTGAGGGCTGGAGATCACTCAGAATTACAACTCCTCTTCAGATGGCAGAGATCAGTTCCCCTAGAGAAAATGGTGGACTCTCTGTCATTAAACCATGCTGAGGTCACCACAGCAAAGTGACAGTTAGTGCCCAAGGCTGGAGCACCCACCCAGAGCCTCTTTCTAGAGTACCTTAAAGACTAATAAAATTTGTGGTAGTGTATGAGCTTTCATGAGTCACTGCTCACTTCTTCAGCCACCTGTGACAGCAGATCCACATGCTTCCAACTTGGATGGATGGAATTCTGTTCCAACGCACCATTGGAACCTTCACCAAACAAGGGAGTGGGAGACACGATCCCCATGTTGCCTACTGAGGACCTTTGTCTTTATGCTGAACAATTAATAAGGATGGCAAAATCATTGAAATTTGGTATCTTGTGTTCGGATCTGAAGTCTTCAGATCCAGTTTTGGAAGTTCCAGTTGCATTCCCAGTACTTCAAGGATTGTTGGACATAGCCAAACACATCCCACCCTCCTTTCCCTGATATGGGCTTCTTCATTGAAGTGCCTCTCCATGGTGGCAAAGGGAGAACTGAGGAAGGAGCACTCAACCCACCTCTGTCGCATAACAGTTTGAGTGGGAAATATCAGCACATGCCTAAGAGGAGGGGAAGCATTCCAAAATGTCTTGGAAAGCTCTAGAAAGCATTGGAACCTTCAGCTCTGCATCTGGACTGCACATGCAGTCCCAGGGGTGCTGTGCAACCCTGTTTTTCTCCCCAGAAGCTGGAATTTTAAACCGCAGTTTAATCTTAGGATCTGGGGTTTGTTTTTAAAAAGCTTCTTATGACATCTGAATGCAGCCATCTGTCAACAGGGCTTTTAAAAAAGAAAACAATAATTATTTATAACAAGAGAAAACTTGTTTGTATTCCTTTTTTCCTTTTCACCAAATTTTATAAAGATTTACTATAATTTAAAATATTTGCTAATGTAGTATGGTGGCGGTGGCGTTACAATTACAGGGCTTTCTGGATGATGCTTCAGTCCTGGATCCCTTCCAGTCCGGCTTTCGCCCGGGTCATGGGACGGAGACGGCATTGGTTGCCCTGACTGACGATCTCCAAAGGCATCTGGATCGAGGCGGTGTGGCGGCATTGCTGTTGTTAGATCTGTCGGCCGCGTTTGATACAGTCGACCATCAGCTGCTGACCCGCTGCCTCACCGACATGGGGATTCAGGGCCTTGCCCTTCAATGGTTTGCCTCTTTTCTCCAAGGTCGGGGACAGAGGGTGGCGATTGGGGAACAGCAGTCCTGGAGGCATCCTCTTGAGTGTGGGGTGCCTCAGGGGGCGGTGCTGTCCCTGATGTTATTTAACATCCATATGCGCCCCCTCGCCCAGATTGCCTGGAGTTATGGGCTTGGGTGTCATCAATATGCAGATGACACCCAGCTCTATCTGATGTTGGGTGGCCAGTCGGACTCTGGTCCTGATGACCTTCATCGGGCATTGCAGGCCGTGGCTGGTTGGCTTAGGCTGAGTCGGCTGAAACTAAACCCGGCGAAGACGGAGGTCCTGGGCCTGAGTCGGATCAGTTCGGGGTTGGGGCTCCCTCTCCCGACCTTCGATGGGGTGCCTCTGGTACCAGCGTCGGAGGTTAGAAGTTTGGGGGTGCTTCTGGACTCCTCTTTAACGTCGGAGGCCCAGGTGGCAGCCACTGTCAAGTCAGCCTTTTACCATCTTCGGCTGGTGTGGCAGTTGGTTCCTTACCTTGACCGTGATGACCTGGCCACTGTGATCCATGCGACGGTCACCTCAAGGTTTGACTACTGCAACGCTCTCTACATGGGGCTGCCTTTGTCGCAAATCCGGAAGCTGCAGCTAGTGCAGAATGCGGCAGCCAGGCTGTTGATGGGTCTTACCAGGCGGGACCATATCCAGCCTGTGCTGAAGGCACTGCACTGGCTGCTAATAGCGTACCGGATCCGCTTCAAAGTGCTGGTTCTTACCTATAAAGCTCTATATGGCCAGGGTCCGGCTTACCTGAGGGACCACCTTTCCCCATATGTTCCCCCAAGGGCACTATGGTCGGGGGCACAATACCTGTTGGTTATCTCAGCCCCAAAGGTTGCTAAATATGCTGCTACCAGGGCCAGGGCTTTTTCGGTGGCGGCTCCTACCTGGTGGAATGAGCTCCCGGAAGAGATCAGGACCCTGCAGGACCTAGTACAGTTCCGCAGGTCCTGTAAGATGGAGTTCTTCCGCCAGGCTTCTGAGTAGGAGCCGCCGCCGCCACAGTACCACCACCGTGTTGTCATCTTTGTTGGTGGAATTTTCTACAAGGTGCGCCGGCCCTGGGATGGAAGAACTGAGAAAGTGAAGTACTAACCAGAAGAGACGTCAGCGTTCTCTGGAGCGTATCATCAGAATCCCCATCTTGGAATTGTTATAGTTTACTGTTAAGCACCGATTTTAATTGTAATGATTATTTATTTTTATGTATGGCATTTGCCTCCTATGTTAGCCGCCCTGAGCCCATGTGGAAGGGCGGGATATAAATCTAATAAATAAATAAATAATGGAAGATATAAAATAGGATCATGGGAAGAGTTCATCAAGCATTACTGTTGCAGTGAGATTTGGGTATTTATATCAGGTCAAGTTGTACTTCTGTGGTTTCAGTGTAGGAGAAGAGAAAGCATTTTTCAAAATTTTTAAATAAGAGCTTAGAGAGATTCCTCTTGTTTCCCCATATTTCCTTTGTAGAATTGATTTGCCTTGTCCCAGAGGCTGGTGGGGAAATCCTGTTTGTGGCCCATGTAACTGTGAGATCAGTAAGGGATTTGATCCTGACTGCAATAAAACCAATGGGGAGTGTCGGTGTAAGGTAAGGAACAGGACATATCACAAATATTGTTGTACCAGTGTTCACTGCAATGTGGGAAAGCTGTAGCAAATGACAGGCATTTTTTTTTTAAATTGAGGATTGTTTTCATCAACAATACTGTCAGGGCCATAGGTGGAGCCAGTCAAAGCTCCCTTCTGTGTGTACATAATGCTTTGCAGTAGGAATGTATGAGACCTCGAAAGGAAATGTAATACTTTTACTCTGTGGCCAGGGCTACTCTGTGAATCTGTACATCAGCCTTGCTTAGTCTAATAGTGAGATGACAGGACCCTGTGCCTATAAGGAAAGTAGCAAACAAGGGGAATAACCGTAAGCAGGTCTGCTCAGAAGTAAGTCCCATTTTATTCATCGGGGCTTACTACCAGGAAAGCATTGTTAGGGTTGCAGCCCAGGCCATCTGCAGAAAAGCAGGGGATTTGTATATACACATGGAACTCCCCAGGATTGAAGGAAAATATGACTTTGTACATTAGCTAAAAGAAAAATAAAGACATTTTTAAAAATTCTGACTAGAGTCCTGGGTTGGGGGAAAAAATTAAGGGGTGCAGAATTAAGGGGCCCTATGGACTTTATTTCAGTGTTTCCAGTGGAAGAACTGGAAATTTGGGGCGTGGGAAACACTCCTCTGGGGGTTTTTTCCCTTTGAAATGAGTGAAGTGGTTTTTAAGACAAGGTGTTGCTCACTCAGAATGTGTAGTATGCAGGCTATAATGTAAAACAATATGCAGCATTTGATGATAATCCAGAGAGAGAGATAGATAGATATTAAATGTAACTAATTTTGCCCATCGTTAATATGGGCCCCCATCACACGGGGGGGGGGGGAAGCATGGCCAAAGCGCAGCTTTTTTGAGCCGCACCAAAAGAGACCCGCGGCGGTGGGATCAGACAGATCCCCCAAGCCGCCGCACAGTTGCTCCCCGGCACGATCAGATGCGGGGGGGGGAGCCACGGAACAGAGAGTGAGGCAGCTGGCTGCGCATGTGCGTGCATGTGCCGTCTGGCTGGGAGCCTCGAATGCTGCGGGAGACAGGTGCGCCAGCGATCCCACGGCCGCCCTTGCTGCGGAGTTTCAGGTAGGTAGTACTCTTTTCTATTTTTTTTTTTATGCGCGGTTTTGCCCGGAAAGGACGGATCGTTGACGGGTGCGCTCCGCTTCCCAGATGTTGCGGTGTGATCATGCCCGTTTGGTGCGCCCCCGATCCGTCCCTCTTGCAGGGCAAAACCTCCCGTGTGACCGGGGCCATGCTATAATGTGTGTGGTGATAACACGCTGAATAATTCAGTGCTTTCAATGCTATAAATTTTTGCTTAATATGCAAATATGCTGCTAGCCCTAAAACAACTGAGGCTACAATCCTAAAAACACTTTCTTGGGAGTAAGCTCATTGAATAAAATGGAACATACTCCTGAATAGACCTGCTTAGAATTACTCTGTGTACGAAGATGTTTTTACCAGATAACACACATTCTTCTCTTCAGTACAAAATCTGTGTTTTCTGTTTTCAAGATCCCCCCCCCCCGGCCACCTCTTGGATGACAAAAACCTAATGTGGTCTAAGTAGCATAGGGCACAGTAGGCTGCAGCTCTCTTCTTTTATATTGGGTGTATTTGCAACTGTGCTTGCCACTGTCCTATATGCTAAGTTATAATTTTATGCTGTTAAAGCAATAAACTAAGTTCAGTTTTGTTAGGAAAGTAAATATTGCTTATATGTCAGCCCAAAAGGTGCGGGGCCGGGGGGGAGACAGGGTGGGGGGGGGGGCATACGATGGCTTCATAATGTCTAAATTTTATACAGCTATGGCCTCTGGTGACTAAATGTATTCCAGGAGGAAAGGAATGTTGAGAGCTGGTTAAAGGGAAAAGGGGGTGAAAGGGGAAACTAACCTTCTGATACTTCTGAGAGTGAATAGAATCCTGGAGGGTACAAGTATTGGGGGTGGAGTGGGGCCTTTGTGTCCCACAATTCCTTGCAGTCCCCAAACTTGTATGTTTGAAATGAAATTGTCTAGGTGCAGGGTCTAATATAAATAATTAATTAAATAAAATATTACTGTGTCTCTGTTTCCAGTTCTGAACACCATTTCCATATGAAACATCCTAAAGTGCATGTTCTAATCAGTGTTCATGTTCTTCATTTGCACACATCTACAACTATTTCTTTGTTTTTCCAGACAAACTATTACAGGCCGCAAAGCAGTGACACTTGTTACCCGTGTGACTGCTTCTCTGCTGGTTCCCACACTCGCACATGTGACCCTGAAACAGGGCAGTGCCCCTGTAAACCAGGAGTGATTGGGCGGCAATGCAATCGCTGTGATAATCCTTTTGCTGAAGTCACGGTTCATGGCTGCGAAGGTACTACTGCTAGTTGTTCTGACAGTCTTTAGGGTCAAGTTAGAGGAGCTTACCTGTTTAAGAATATCTGAAAGAGATTATGACATCTAAGAAGATGTTTTTTTAGCCTTGGTTTCCTTTAAACTGATTGGCAGATGCCCTATGCTTCATCCTTTCCCCCCCCCCCCAAGTCTTGAAATATTTTGACACTTTTAGCATCGTAATGCATTAAGCCTTGTCCTAGCAAAAAAGTGCTTCTGCCCACTTGATCAGGGGTGTTGAACTCATTTGTTATGAGGGCCAGATCTGACTTAAATGAGACCTTGTTGGGCTGAGCCATGTGTTCCATAAAATGTAATGCCAGGTACCAGAGATATAAACTTTATAAAGGACACAGGCTCTGCCCCCCCCCCATGTAGTGGCTTCTCCAATCTTCACTGAGCTGCGGTCAGATGAGGTGGGAGGGGAAAAACACCATGCCTCCTCTTTCTCCACCTTTGCTGCCATTCCCACACTATTTTACCTCAGCATCATAGTCTTGCCCCAGCCGTTTCCTTTCTATTTCTTGACAGCTTTGACCACACACACTTCATCACATGCGCCCACTCACCCGGTCCCCCCCCCCCAGCAGCCTCCTACCTTCCCTCCTTCACACCAGTTGCTTGCAGGCTGGGTAAGAGCCCTGGATAGATCAGTTCTGGCCCCCAGGCCATATGTTTGACACCCATGCACTAGATAGTGACATTGGTGATTTTTATCTTTCCTGAGGGAGAAATCCTTTTCTGTTTTCTTCCACCTCGTATAGTGGTTTACAGTGGATGCCCCAAAGCATTTGAGGCTGGCATTTGGTGGCCGCAGACCAAATTTGGCCAGCCTGCTGCAGTGCCATGTCCCAAGGGATCAACAGGTAAGGTAGCAGAATGTTGAACTTCCTATTATAAACTTCAGTGTAGAATGAGATTTAAAATTTTTAGTTACACCCAGGAGATAATGTGTTATCAGAGTCTGAAAATAAGAACCTGGGCAACCAAAGATTGAAGATTTAATGTAGATGAAGTTATTGAGAATATATAAGAGCCCGTTTAGAAGTATGGGTTGGATCCAGGCAGGTTTTTCATTCAACCTCACCTAATTCCCCTCCTCACCAGAGTCCCTGTCCCAGGTCCTAGGATCTCCAGCATGGGCCTTTTGGCAGGCAACGGGGAACACCTCCTCTTTCTTTTAACAATACAAAGTCTGGTTAGATCCAACCCCATGAAAGGCAGAATGTGAAAAATGCAGTAGATAATGAGCTGTTGTAGAATAGGATAGGAATCTCAACCCCCTGTGTGAAAAGACAGCCAAAATATTAGTATCCTTTGGTTCTGATGGATTTTTACATGATTTTATAAGCTTAAGCAGAGTTACAACCTTTTAAGTCCATTGACTTGGAAGGGTAGGATTGCACTGTTAGTGTGATATACAGGACTGTGTTTCAGAGGGCAGCCGTGTTGGTCTGCAGTAGAGCAGTTAGATTTGAGTCCAGTAACGCCCTAGAGACCAACAAGATTTTCAAGGTATGAGCTTTTGAGAGTCAAAGCTTTCTTTGTCGGACATGAGTAGGAATGAAGATCTGAGTGTATCTATCCCAGTCAGGACTATGTGTGAGGTAACTAAAGTAGTAAGGAATAGACAGACAAGCAACTCTGCCTTAGAACATCTGTAATCTTCTGAAACGTTCCCAATGCATTGGAGTGTTAATTTATAAACTAGAGTGATTTTTCTCCCCCTTTGAGGTAACACAACAACAATTGCACTTTTTGCTAATTAATTTTTGTTTGAAGGGAATGCTGTGCGCCACTGCAACAGTGAGAAAGGCTGGCTCCCCCCTGAGCTCTTTAACTGCACGACCATTGGCTTCATGGACCTTAAAATAATGGTAAGAACCAGCCGCTGTACAAAAGGGGAAACCTTTACTGACTTGTGAGTGTTGTGCCATAGCAGCCTTTAATATCACTGCTTAACACTGTTACCAAACAGGCTCTCATGTGGCCATCTCCCTCCTTGAATCATTGGCTTTTCCTGTGCCCAGCAAGTAAGGATTGCTCACTTTGTTTCCATATGTGGCACTGAACATATTTACAGAGAAGAAACCAGGTTTCTTTATAACTGTTAACATTATAACTTTTCCTAGTGCTCTTCTGACCATTGCAGACTGTGCCCAGGGCAGCTGTTGCAGATGAGTTAATGAGGTTTTGGGGTCAGGCTGTCAGACTACAATTTGAGAGAGAGCCAAGTTCAAATCCCCATTCTGCCGTGTGTGACCTTGGACCGGTCGCACAATTTCTGCCTAACCTACCTTTCACAGTGGTTGCTGTGAGGATAAAATGAGAAAGGGAGAACAACATATTCTGTGGCGAGCTCCTTGGAGGAAGGGCAGAATAAAGTACAATAGATGGATGGAAAGGTGGATAGATGGTTGGATAGATAAATGCATTTATGTGCAGGGGTCAGAATGGAGCTAAGAAATACTGACTTTGCCACACATCGTAAGTTCAGAACAAGAATTACATTATCTAAGGTGCTAGAGTTTCCCCTTGAGAAAGTTAAGCTTTGGAGCCTAGGTACAATTAAGGCCACTGAGCACTGGTTCATACTCTCTATCAGCAGGTAACAGGCATGGGACCAAACAGGCTCTCATGTGGCCATCTCCCTCCTTGAATCATGTACATAGTACAAATGGTACATGCACATGTGATCCATGCATTCTGCATCTCTTCTACAAATTATTACCCAAATCAATCTCATCACTGGAGTTCTCTTACCTAACCTTCCAGAAGTCCTCTTACTTGATTTCTGGTTTGATCCTGCAGAAAACAAAACAAAAACCTTGTTAATTGCTGTGCTACTTGCTGCTGCGAGACTTGTGATCACTCAAAAATGGAAAGACGAAGCAGCTCCATCCCTGAACAACTGGAAAAACAAATTATGGGAACATTTTCTCCTGGAGAAAATTGCCTCGCAGAATGCTGTTATCACAACAGGTGGCCATCTGCGCACATTTCAAGCCATTTGGTTCCCAATGGTCACTTACTTGCCTAATGGGGATTTTCTCCCCAATAACCGCTTTTATCAAGACCTTTTGTAGTTTTGAAATTCCTTTTGGTTCCCTACATGCTGTTCAATGTGTCTTGACTTTTGGTCAGTTTAATATCGACTCTGAATACTTTTACCATTTTATGCAACGGTTTATTTCTGTTTTGTATAGAAAATAATTTTTAAAAATTAAAAAACAACAATCTGCATCTCTTCCTCTGCTGTACCACATGGAAACCTTCAATATAAAAAGCATTTCAGTAAGTCTTTTAACAAAGAAGGAATGCCATTTATTTCTTAAGTTGGAAACATTTTTTTTTGTTTGCATCAGAATGAACAGCTTCTCCGCAACGAGACAAACATGGACGGTGACAAGTCCGTGCAGATAGCCAGGGTGCTTCAGAATGCTACTAACCACACATTCCCCTTCTATGGAAACGATGTTCGAACGGCCTACCAGATGATGCTCCGCGTGCTGCAGTATGAGAGCCAGCAGCAAGGGTTCGACCTGGCTGCGATGAGGGATGTGGAGTTCAACGAGGTAATGAATGCTTAGCAGAGACTGAGAAAAGATAGGTGGTGTGGGACTGGAAAGAATGGTGCTGTGTTTTCTTCCACAATCCCCCCTGGAAGATATCAAGAAGCTGTCAAGGAAGACTGGACAGCAATTGGTGACCCTGCAACCAAGAAAGTTAACCTTAATGCCAAAGACACTGTTGTGTATTGGCTGTAAAGGAGATATGCGCTGAATTGCTGCATTTTCTCATTTGCCAAAATGTCCACCATGTACAGTAGCCAGAGAACAGAAGAACTTCTGTAAAATAGCTTACTTGAAAATCACAGTAAAGATCTCACATACAGAAATAGCAATCACAAGTTCTAGCACAGCCTGAGATTTGTTTATATGTGTGTTAAGGGGCAGCTGTTAAAAATAAATCCTTGTTGCGGCTTTGTGGACATGAAAGTACCACAAAATAGCAAGGTTGAATCTTCTGGGCATAAATGCAGAGCAGTGAAAGAAAAAGAATTTGTGAATATACTGTATTTATTTATTTACATCAATTATAGACTGCCCTTCTCACTTGGTCTCAAGGTGGATTACACAGAGTGAGTTAATACAATCAACAGGATAGGGTATTCAATAAACAATACAAAAGAATTAGGGGTTTAGAACCAAAAAGAAATCTAAAAACAGAATTGAAGCAAAGCATAAACCTTAAAATGATACAAAGATTACATAGAAGGATCCTAGTTTTCAGTACGCTAAACACAGTTATATAGACCACAGTCCCTAATAATTTATCTAAGTAACTTGGTGAATCATTTAGTACAGTGCAACCTCATTGCCTGCATAGAAAAGCCCTCTTGAATAATTCATTTTTGCACAGTTTGTGGAAATCCAGGGGAGTGGGAGCCTTCCTGACCTCAGGCACTCCATTCCACAGGGTGGGGTCCACAACGGAGAAGGCATGTGTACAAGCGGTTGTTGATAGTCTGGCCTAGATATAACTAAGGCATGGACCACTGGCTAGATCTGACTGAACGAGGAATATATGCAGCTGCCATGCCAGCCAAAACTGGCCAAAAGCATTCCAGGCCACCTGGTTTTCTAAGGTGACTGCTCTGTCGAGTTGCACTCCCAAGCTGTCAACTTGGCTTTTCAAGGGGAGTATAACCCCACCCAAGACAGGAGAGGTCTCAAGTCCCTGGTCTGCCTTTCTACTAAACCAGAGAATCTGTGTCTTGGCAGGATTAAGTTTCACCTTGTTCACCCTCATCCAGCACATTTCTGACTCCAAGCACTGCTTCAGAATATCAAATGTATCCTCTGAATTAGGGAGGAAAGAAAGAGAGAGCTGGCATTATTTACATATTGGTACACTGCAGCCCAAACCTCCTGATGACCTTTCCTAGCAGCTTCATATAGATATTAAACAACATGGTGGATCATATTGAACCCTTCGGAACCCCACAGTCCAATGGCCATGCAGCAAAGCGGAATCCTCAAGCACCATCTTCTGAGTGCAACCCCCCCAGATAGGACTCAAACCACCGTAACACTTAGTCCCAGCATTGAGAGGTGGTCCAGTAAGATACTGTGGTTGATAGTATCAAAAACCACAGAGAGATCCAGCATAACTAGCAGGATCACATTCTCCCTTTCTGCTTCTTGATAGAGGTGATAATTCTGAGTAAATCTCTACATACATGAAATTGGTTGATTAACTGATTCCAGGAGTGTTGCAAAGTGCCAACATTGTAGTGCACAACAGAATCTCGGGGTCGATTCAGAGTCCTTATGGCCATCACAAGGAATTTGGATCCCATGCTTCCCAGGTGTGTGCAAACCCACTTTTAACTGGGACCATGGTATGCAAAGAGAATGGGCTTCAGCCCCCCACCCCCATACCATTTTCCTGACTTGAATTGACTCTATGGAGCCATGGTTCACTCCATTGGCAAACTTAACACATAGTTTTCCAGTGGAGCAAATAGCAACTCCACTGGGCTGTTTAAGCTGGGAAAATAGTGGGGGATGTACCTTCTCCAAATGTGGCATGGTCCCAGTCAGAATTGGACCACTGGACACTTGGGAGGGGTCAAACTTAGGGGTGTGCAGGGGAGAAAATTCGGTATTTTTTCGGATTCGGATATATTGAACCCGAATTTTTTCAGGAAACCTGAAAACCTGAATACCAATATCGGTATAGTATAGATATCCAAAAATTTTCAGGATTCCCGAAAAATTCGGGTCCATTATATCCTATGGGCCATTGTAGTCAATGGCAAAAATCTTGTAACAAGTTTTCAGAGGGCTGGGGGGGTTGAGGTAGAGGCAAATATTCTAGCAATATTTGTATTGCTAAATACAAATAAAACCTGCTAATACAAAAATAAAACCTGCTAAAAGGCACAGAAATAGACGAAGGCAACTGAAAAGACAGAGCCTAGGCCCAGGTAGAAGGCCTACCCCCCCCCCAAAAAAAACACCCCAACTAGCCCAGAAAACACAATAAAAGGAACTTAAAGGCAACAGAACCACAAAGGACAAGAACCAAAGACAGAAGGCCTAGTCAGAGTAAACACCCCCCCCAAAAAAACAAGCCCAGAAAATACAAGAAAAAAAATTAAACTGCAAAGGCAACAGAACCAAAACACAAGAAAGAACCAAGAACAGAGAGAGGCAGAAGGCTAACCAGTAACCCCCCCAAAAAAAGCCCCAACAAGCCAAGAAATAAATATCAAATCAATCACAGTAAAAAAAGGAAAATGCAACCATCTAAAAGAAGAGAATCCTCCCCCCCCCAAAAAAAACAACAACCAGGAAGAGGCATGAGAGGCCCTAGAGGCCTATCCCCCACCAACCCCAGGCCCCAACCCACCAACCCACAAGAAATAAAGAATGTTTTAAGTGCCCTAATATAATTCAAACCAGTATGATGTCTTCAGTCTTGAATCTTGATCCGACGTAGTCCACAAGGCAGGAAAGCAAGCTCAAGGAGCAGGGGCTGATTCTAGCAGAAGCCAGCCAGCCATGCACAATCTCCAAGCCAAGCTCTCTCTCACCAGCAGCAGCAGGAACCAGGAACAGGATGGAGTCAGCCAGCCAGAGAGTCTGCTTTTATGCTCTCTGGGCATACACAGAAGGATTTCAAAAAAGAACAGCCTTTTGTGATTGTCCAGAGAGCAGATGCCAAAATCCTATTGGCCAGTGCTCCTTTCCCTGGGAAAGGAGCAAGCTAGTAGCTGGGCTTCAAGAACTGAAGCCAGCAGCAACAACAGCCTTGCAAAAAGTTGCAAGCTGCAGTGCATTTTGAAATGCATTGCAGTGATTGGCTGTCTGGAAGATCCCTCTTTCCCCTCCCTCCTGGAAACAGGAGCAAGAGGCGGGAAAGAGGGGAAAACGGTGGGAAAATGAGGTTTTCTGGCGTCCTTTAAAGTTTAACCCCCCCCCACACATACACAGCTGTTTTTCGGGAATCCCAGAAAAAGCCAGGGGGGAAACGAATGGGGGGGGGATCGGCTTTCCGAAACAGCTCTGGGAGGCTGTTTCAGAATCCCAAAAACCCGTAAAAAAACCAAAAAGGAGTTTTTCGGGTGGTTTTCGGGTAAGTGAACCCGAATTGCACATGCCTAATCAAACTCCCAGTGCAGGCATTATCCAAATTCTTTATGGTGGTCAAAAGGACTTCTTGTCATGTGAATCAGTTCTACGGATACTCTTCGGATTTACTAAGTTCTGGTTTAATTCAGCTTCCTAAATTGCCAAGTTCTAGACTAGGATCTCAGAGACCCAGGATCAAATGCCTACTCTGCCAATGGAAACTCACTGGCTGACCTTGGGCCAGACATAAATTCTCAGTCTATCTCTGATTTCAGCTTAGGTGAAATGCTTAAAATAACACCCACTGATCTTAACCACAGTAATTTTGTTTTCTTTAAAGCAAGTCAGCTTTGAGGTGTGATCTGCAATCCCCCCCCCCATTTCTTTTGACAGCTAGTACAGCTTTTCTATTTTGTGAGCAGTACATGTTTTCCTTTCTTTTCCAGAATATCATAAAAGCTGGCAGTGCTCTTCTGGACCCAGGCACTAGAGAGCATTGGGAACACATCCAGAGGACAGAGGGGGGCACAGCACACCTCTTGAAACACTATGAGGAGTATTTCCGCAACGTAGCAAAGAACATGAGAAACACCTACATGAATCCTTTCGTGATTGTTGCCGCAAACATGAGTAAGTTGCTGCTTTGTCATTTTTGTACTAGCAAGTGTGAATACCTAAGGTGTCAGAACACCAAATTTGGATCCACTGAGGACCTCTCCCAGCACCAGCAGCAGTGGCTTTTTCACTTCCTCCCTCCCCTGCAGCTTACAAGTGTCCCCCAATATGCTGTCACTCCTGGGAGCAGCATTTCAGGAGCTATTTTTGATGGGAGGGAAGAGGCGATAGTTGTACTGTGCTGAAGGAAACGCTCCAGTACATTAAAGCTAAGGGTTCTTTTACCAGAAATGGCAGGACTGGCTGTCTGTTCCGGAGATACGTAACCATTGGCACACATGCCAAACATTGGCAGGCTAAACCATTTTACTCAGCATGCAGGGTAAACTCTTTGCCCAGGTAACCAAGGCAAGCCTACTGAGGCACTGGCAGCATCTCTGGGGCCAGCAGTAAGGGAGAAGGCAACAGGCATGATCTAGGCCTGATAGTGCTTCCCAGATCTATGTAGCCACCAGCCAGGCCCAAATTAAGCCCTTGAGGTGCTGGCAGTGCAGCAGAGATCCGGGTTGCTCCCACTGTGTCTGGCCAAGTGTTTGTTGACTCACCAGCATCTTCACAGGTAGATGTATTTTTCCAGTATTCAGGCCCAAGTGGTTGCTTACCCCTGATCTGTAGAACGACTGTTATTCCAGGGATCTTAATTCTATTGACAGTGCGTAGATAAAGTTAATAGATCACAGAGCAAAAAAAACCCCCAGGCTGGGCAGCTTGCAAAACAGCTGCCCCTAGTGACATGGGCAGCAGGGGTCTGTGCTCCCTAGGGGCAGGAACAAGAAGACCCTGCAGGCCTAGCTATGGCTGTGCCATTAGGGCTGCATCCTACTGTTTTTTGGGGGGGGGGTATAAAACTGCTTGTGGGTGTGTGAAGGTGATGGAGAGGGACTGCATCATAAATGTGATGCTTCAACAGTATGCACTGTTGAACCCGTTCGAGGCAGCATTAGACCCGTGTTAGATCATTGACTTCAATTGACTTTAAAAGGTATAACTGTGCTTTGGACTATAATGTAGCCTTGCACTTTGGGGTATGCGTGATCTAGATTTGGCTGCCTTGAGCACCCAAATGTTTTTAATTTGAGTGTTCAGATACAAGCACTAAATTAGATAAACATGCTTGGGGCTCAGGTCTTCTCCGAGTCTGAGAAGAGAGCTTCTATGTTTTTCAGTGTAGCTTTTACAGCTGCCTAAAGATATATATGTCAGACACACATCTGACTTTCAGAAGGGATTGAAACTTCACCCCACCTCACCCCAGTTCTGTATTTATCTGAAAGTACAAATATAGCAGTTGTATTTTCAGAAAGGGGTTCCTGTAGTATGTATCCAAATAGGCACAAATATGGCCCATACCTTTATTTGATGTTGAAATATATGTTCTTAATGCCTTCTAGCCATAAATCCTAATTTCTTTTAAATATCCCTGTAGCATGAACATCTAATAAATAAATTTACTAAGTGGCCCTGTTGGCTTTGGATTCTGTCTGGCAGCAATGAAGTCCTAACACATATTATGGTAAACTCTTTTTTGTTCTAGTTATTGCTGTTGACATCTTTGAAAAGTCTAATTTTACGGGAGCTAAAGTGCCGCGGTTTGATGAGATTAAATCAGATTATCCCAGAGATCTTGAGTCATCCGTTTTGTTTCCTGATACTTTGTTCAGAGCTTCCAATCGAAAAGGTAGAATGCTATTCTTAGTACTTTTGGAAACTTCTAATAACAGTTCTCATAATTAATTACAAAGAGATAATGTAATCTCTCGAGGGGTGGGTAGAAAAGCATCAAATGGATAAAAATGGTTGATGTACCATGCCACTCTCCAAACAGAATTCAAGATGGGCCTATGCAAGAGAGGAGAGAACTTGACTCCTATCGGCTAGAACTACCAGGGACCACGTCTCTGGGAGCACCTCTTATAAGTGAATGGCTGGCATTCATATTGGACAAAGTTTGGGGGAAATGTTGTGAGCAAAGTCAAAACACTGTACAACATCATTTGTACTAAATAATCTCCACTGACCATATAGAGGGTGCCGTGTGTATCTGGCCTGTGAGCATTTACACTCCCTGCTGGGATTCCTGTGTTGTAATGCCCTCATGCCATGCATGCCCCACCTGTTCTGATGGTAGGCTTGTACTGTATATGATGTAATGCATCCCGTCAAGCTACACTGTTTTTACACAGGTGAAAGAGCTATATGGTAAGGAAATGGTTCAGAAAGGGGCTTTGGTAAAGACTGTAGACTGTACTGTGTACTGTCTGTCTCTGTAAGTATGCTCCTACTAGGTGATTTCTGCATTGTTTTAAGTTGTCATGTTTAAATGCTTATGCTTTGCTTCAGCATTGTTTCAGCTCTGTAACAGTTTTCAAATTTCTGCAGTCCAAATGCTATTGCATTGTTTATTGGATGTCCCAGCCATGGATTATATTGATTTATACTATTATGCCAGAGGCCTTAAGGCTATCTCAGTGAGAAAGATGGGCTATAAATAACATAAATAAATAAGTAAATAAACTGATGAATTTGCTGATCCATGAAATGGTTATGCCTCACCATCAGCTGCTTATAGTATATTTCTCTAGTATACCCTTGTTTAGTATGTTCCTTCCTACAGCTGCATATCCCCCCCCACCCAATTAACTATCACTACACTGACTTCTCCCATTGTACTTCACACTCTCATCCTTTTGCTCTTCCTTCTGTCTTTCCATCTAAACAAGTTTTCCATATTGAAACATGCTCCACTTGCTTCTCTTCCCATCTTGCTCAGCTTAGTCATTGGACCAACAATGACTTTGGATTGGAATAATTCCAAGTCTGTATTTTTAGCAAAAAAATATTCTAGAAGAATGAGGCCGAGAAGGAGATTTTATACAGCAAAAATCTGCTAACTAGTGATTCAGATAATGAGATAGCCTTAAGGCCTCTGGCATAATAGTATAGAAAAGAATAAATGTAAGAGGTATTTTCTTTCTGTCTTTCTTTCTACTTTTAGAAAAACAGTCCCGCCCTGGATCAGTCTGGGGCAGAGGCTGTGATGGTAATTTGCACAAGATGGTAATTTGGCAGAGTTTGAACAATGCTCAGTCCACAAATGTAAGAAACATAGCGTCAGTCTTGGAGAACTAAAATTAAAATGTTGATGTGTGCTTTAATAGGCATGTCCCCAAGTTTGGTTTTGGCAGGGGGGAGCTCACTAACTCTATTTTTATAACATGTGAAATTAAAGACAGTATCTTCTGTAATCTTCTATAGATATAGAAGTTACAGAGGTCATGAGGTGAAAAGGTTACTATGTCTTTTTAAAAATTTATCTTTTTAAATGGTGATCTGAAGTCTGTGTATTGGAGTATAAGTTCACATTAATTTTTGTCCTTAGTTGGTCCTACCATGAAGCCCTCCAAGCATAAATTGTCTTCTAAGATGGAAGATGAGTTTTCAGATAGTAGAAATGCCCTTTCAAAGAGAAAGCGACGGCACCCAGAGGAGTATAACCAATATGCTGTTGCTGTGGTGATTATATACCGAACACTGGGGCAACTTCTGCCTGAGAGCTATGATCCCGACCGAAGAAGTTTAAGGTACTTTATCTGTTTGTTTGTTTGTTTATTAGAACATTTATACCTCTCCTGTCCTTGTGGTTCAAGGCAGCTTACAATAGACAAATTGATCTTCTATGCAGTCCCACATGGGGACTGTGCATGAGCAGGCCTGCCATCAGATAGGTCTTTACAGCTAAAAGCCTCCAGGGGACACTGAATACCAGAGCCAGAAGCTTGTTCCCACCCAGGAACCACGTGCTCCTGTGCAGCAGCACCCCCACCCTCAGTTACTCTTTTGCCACTAAAGGAGAAGGTTGTGCTTTTCATAGTCCCCAGCTACAGTCGAGAGGTTCCAGAGTTGTTGAGGCTACATCAGATTCTGAGTCCTTTTGATGGCTCAAAGGGCTCTTTTCAAGAAATGCTCCCGATGTGGGGCAAAGATGACCCAAAATAATGCATATGCCCTCTGTCCTGTTTGGGTGAGGGGCATCGTTTTTCCATATGTAAGGCCTGCCAGCGCTTCACCCCTAAAGCTCGGGGGATAGGGCGTCAAGACTTAAGGCAGTGTGTGGGAGAGAGCCCTTAAAGCCTCAGAGCCCCCATCCAATTTAGCCCCAGAGAAAGCTTCCAATTCCATGTCTTCAGAATCGATGCGTTCAGCTTCACCTCCCAGATCTGTGTGTCAGCAGATCCAGTCTTGGTTGCACTCCCCTCCAACTCATAGAGATTTTCAGTGTAAAAGCAGAGATAACAAATACAGCAGAACACTTGCATTAGCTTTTAAAGAAAAGAAATCTTTACTAATGAGGGAGGTAAACTGGGAAATACTGGATCGAGGTGGATCGGCGCTGCTTCTTCTTCTTTATCTTTTGGCAGCGTTTGATATAGTTGACGATGAGGTGTTAACCCACCGCCTTGCCGACAACAAGGATATGGTACAGGCAATTTTTACCTTGGTGAGACAGTTCAGATCTCACCAGTTCTGATCAGTTTGGAAAATTCTGTGCCTTTTGGGATATATGGCTTCTACCACTGCAAATCCTGCCTATGGCTAGGTTACAGTTGCGTCCCCTGCAGCTCTGGTTTCTATCTTGTTGTAGAGTTGGGGTTCATGCCTTATGGCACAGATTTTCTATTCCCAGACCTGTGGTATGTTTTGTATTGTGGTGGTGTTCTATGGATAATTTATCCCAGGGAATTTCCTTTGGAGTTTCTGGACATGAGGTCGTCCTGACTACGGATTCTTCGCTCTTGGGTTGGGGTGCCCACTGTGAAGGATTCTTGGCTAGTGGTACTTGAGAAGCTGCTGCACATTAATATTTCAGAATTGTGAGCAGTTTATTATGCCCTTAGTTGTTTCTCAGATATCCTTTGTAACCAATCCATTCTCGTCTGAACAGACAATACAGTTATAATTTTTTATTTAAACAAGCAAGGTTGGTCCAGGGTCCATGTCTAAGTCTGTGTCAGGCCCCTTGCATGGGACATGGCAGTGAAGCCTGGGAGTTTATGCACAGAAGCTGACAGATTAAGCAGGGCTGACACACTCTCTCACAAATGGTCCATAAAGGCCACTTACCTGGAACCGCTTTTTACCCTCTGTGGGGTTCTGAACATTGATCTCTTTGTGATGAGAGAAAACAAAAAAGCTGTAAGGTTCTGTTCCTGAGCAGGAGTAGGAATTGGTTCCCTAGGGGATACGTTTCAGCTGCGGAGGCAGCGAGCCCTGTTTTATGCATGCCCTCCATTCCCACTCTATCAGGGTAAAAGAGAAAGCCAGGAGGGAGAGATGGAACATGATCCTGGTAGCACCCTTTTGGCCTCATCAAATGTAGTTTCTGGTCGTTATGGAGCTCTCCCGGGGCCAGTTCCTTCCCCTTCCGAATCATACAGATTTAATCAGCATCAATCAGGTGTTTCATCATGATCTGAACCACCTCACGCTGAAAGCTTGGAGGCTTCAGACAGAGACCTAATTTTTTCGAAAGAGGTTAAGAAGAAGAAGAGAAGAGATTGGATTTATACCCTGCCCTTCACTACCCAAAGAAGTCTCAGAGCAGCTTACAATCCCTTTCCCTTCCCCTCCCCACAGCAGACACCCTGTGAGGTGGGTGGGGCTGAGAGAGCCCTTTTGAGGACTACCCTTGAAGAGAAGAAGAAGAGGAGATTGGATTTATACCCCGCCCTTCACTAGGAGTCTCAGAGCGGTTTACAAACTCCTTTCCCTTCCTCTCCCCACTACAGACACCCTGTGAGGTAGGTGGGGCTGAGAGAACTCTGACATAAACTGCTCTTTTTCAAGGACAGCTGTGCCAGAGCTTGTGACTGACCCAAGGTCACATCAGCAGCTGCAAGTGGAGGAGTGGGGAATCAAACCCCGTTCTCCCAGATTAGAGTCCGCACACTTAACCACTACACCAAACTGACTCTGAGAGAACAGCTCTGAAAGAACTTATGACTGATCCAAGGTCATGCCAGCAGCTACATGTGGGGAATCAAACTCAGTTCTCCCAGATCAGAGTCCGTGCTTCTAACCACTACACCATACTGGCTCTTCACTTAATGTTCTCCTGTAATCATGCATGCCTAACACTAGGAAATCCTGTATGTATAAGTGGAGGCAATTTTCCCTCTGGTGTGGTGAGAGGGATGTGTCACCAGGTAGTGCCCCACTGCAGGCCATATTTGATTACTTATTACACCTGAAATCTAAGAGCCTGGCGCTCTTCTCTTTGAAGGTTCACCTGGATGCTATCTCTTGCTATCACAAGGGCATTGAGGCAGGATCAGTTTTATCCCATCATTTGTCCAAGAGGTTTCTTATTTATTTATTTATTTATTTATTTATTTATTTATTTATGGGATTTCTATCCCGCCCTCCCCACAAGCAGGCTTGGCGGGTCACAACAGGTAAATAAAACAACTGCCACAATAATTACGATTTTAAAAACCTATAAAATCTGGTAACATTAACCTTTGATGGCGAAACAGTGATACAACAAGCACCCAGGTGTACGCTGCGTGTGTGCCCAAGGGCCAGTGTATTGGGTAAATGGGCAAGGACATCTACCAGTGGCACAAGTTGACAAAGTATACAGCATAGAGGTGCATTTGGGCAGGGGAGGCCAATGTGATCAGACACCCGCTGCCTCAATCAAAAGCCTGACAGAACAACTCCATTTTACAGGCCTTGCAGAACTGTAATAAGTCCCGCAAGGCCTTGACCTCACTTGGAAGAATGTTCCACCCGGTCAGAGCCAAAAAGGCTCTGGCTGTGGTTGAGGCTAAACGGATGTCTTTCAGGCCAGAAGGTGTTGTTCAGCCAAGCATAAAGCTCTTCGGGAACATATTGGGAGAGATGGTCCTGCAAATATGTTAGTCCCAGACTGTGTAGGGCCTTGAAGGTTAATACCATAACCTTGAACTTGATCTGATACTCAACTGGAAGCCAATGCAGCTGGCAAAACACTGGCTGGATATGCTCCTGCAAAGACACTCCAGTCAGGAGGTGCACCACTGCATTTTTAAGGGGCTAGGTAATCTTTGCCCACCCTGGGATTCTTTAGGGCCCCAGTCGTCTCTACCTGTTGTGTTTACACAGTTAATGCTCATACCTTTTCAACCCCTTGCTGTGTGTTCTTTGGCAGAACTTTCTACGAAGTGTGTTTCTTAGTGGCTCTTACCTTAGCCAGGAGGGTGAATGAGTTAGCAGCTCTTCAGATAGATCCCCCATTTTTGAAGTTCTTTCCTGAAAGGGTAATCCTTTTCTTTAGTTTTAGGTTTCTTCCTAAGGTAGTTTCCAACTTCCATGTATCCCAAGATCATTTTGCCTCTGTTTTTTCCTTTACCGAGCTCTGAGAATGAGTGCTCATTGCATTTTTTAGATGTTAGAAGGGCATTATTATTTTACCCCAAGAGAACCCTGGAGTTTTGCAGGGATAGAAGCCCATTTGTTTGTTTTAGTGGCCCTAAGAGAGGTAGGAGAGCATCATTTCAGACCCTGCCCTGATAGATTGTCAGGGCCATTAGGGAGTGTTATGATTGGGCCAGATTACCATGTCTGTTGAACATTCATGCCCATTCCATTAGGGCAATGGCTTCTTTAGCAGAGCTGCCACCTGGTTGTCAGCACATGTATTTGTACATTACTATGTTTTGGATCTGCAGGCAAGACATGAGGCTCAAGTAGGCAAGGCAGTTCTTCCTTCGCTGTTCAAGTGAGGAGAGCACGGTGAGTAGCTTGCTAGAATTCCCATGTGGGACTGCACAGAAGATCAATGATGAAAACAAAGTTCCACTTACCTATAACTATTGTTCATCAAGTATCTTCTGTGTAGGCACACATACCCTCCCTCCTGCCCCGCTGCATGCTGTGGCTTCGGTGGCACTGGAGGTATTGAGGGTTGGGGCACTGCTGCTCAGGAGCACATAATCCTTGGATGGGAACAGGCTTCTGGCTTCAGTGCGCTGTGCCCCCTGGAGGCTTTTATCTATAAAGACCTATCCAATGGCAGGCCTGTTCATATGTAGTCCCCATGTGTGCCTGCGCAGAAGATACTCAGTGAACAATAGTTACAGGTAAGTGTGACTTTGTTATCTTCTTTAACTTGCTTTGAGTGACACTTATTATGGGTTAGATCTGCAGGTGCCTTAGTGCTGGCATAATAGTATTCACGCCAGCAGAATGGCACTTTCATGGGTGGAATGATGCTTCCACTGGCAAAGAAAGATGGAAAGGGTAATATTGGCGAGTTTTGTTTTCCTACTGGCCACCACTAATGCAGTTTCTACAGCCCCCATGACCCTCTAGGAGCAGAATCCGGAGGGCTCAGTGGGCTTCAAGTGGAGGCAGGAATGTCTTGCTCTGTCAGCTTCACTGTACTGGCCATGTATTGTATCAAGCCTCACATTCTGGTAAATGAAGGCTGTGTTAAAGGAGAGCGAGGCCACTTCATTCTGATGTGATTAGAGATTAATGTTCTGCCTGTAATATTTAACTGATGATAGCTCAGTAGCACGTGCAAGCCATCATTTGATTGTGGCAGTTCTCAGTTGGTGGTCATGTGGCCTTCAGTGCTCTTGAGCACTTTATCCACTGCCAAGACAAAGTAGGTGCTCGCTTGAAACTTGGCAAAAGTTCCTTGTTTGCATGTTTCACCATTTTGTTTTATCCTGCCAGGTTACCCAATCGGCCAGTCATTAACACTCCAATAATCAGCGCCATTGTTTATAGAGAAGGGGGATCTTCACCCAATCTACTGGAAAATCCCATTACCCTTGAGCATACCATGCTGGAAACTGAGGAGAGGACAAAGCCAGTTTGTGTGTTCTGGAACCACTCAACTGTGTATGTGTTATAATCTTTCATTCTTTTGGCTGGGAACTGTTACATGCTAACCCTTTGATGGTAATGGTGACTTTTGAACATATTTCATATCACTAGTCTAGTAAAGAAGGGGGTAGTGACAAATTTGCAGGCTGTCATTTGCATGGCGATGTGAAATGCCATCAAGTCACAGCCAGTAGGGGTTTCAAGGCAAGAGACATTTCAGAGGTGGTTTGCCATTGCCTGCCTCTGCATCATGACCCTGGTATTCCTTGGAGGTCTCCCATCCAGATACTAGCCAGGGCAATCCAGCTTAGCTTCCAAGATCTGATGAGGACAAATACCTAAGTAGTTATATTAGCACCTGAATAAAAAAGAAAAGTGGTTTTCTGATGTGGCAAGCTGCAGAAAAACTCAAATAAGAAAATAAAAATTTGGAAACTCAGTTGGAAAAGGGTCTTACTTTTATTGCCAACCAGGATTTAGACCAAGAGTGCCCAAAGAAAGAGAAGATATTTATGTCATCGTTTCTCAAGAAATTGGCTATAAAAAGGCATTTTTTGTAGGAGGAGTGTTGATGTCTTTTAAAGCCAAAATTGTTTGAATTTAAAGGAAAAACACAGAGAGAAGTGTGCTTGAGCTGTCATTTTGAAGCAGCAGCAAGCTGGCTCAAAGGCACATCCCTCTTTTTAGCCGCTTGCCATAGCTCCCCTGAGTTATCTTCGTTTGCAGTAGTGAAAAATGGAAAGTACATGCCTCTGGGTGGGAAGGAAATCACTTTTCTGTGAGACCTCTGACCTCTTTTCATCCGTCTTCTAAACCACATGGGGGATAAAAAAGCTGCTTGCCTACCTGATCCTTCTTGTGCAGCAGCATGAATAAGAGAGTTTATAGTCACAAGAATGTAGCACAAGTGTGTGTGTTCGCACAGGCCAAAGCTAACATGGGGTTAGGTTACAGATGCTTCTGTGGGTATGTTCACACTGGTACCACATCTAACATCCATTGCCAATGTAGGCTGCTGATACATCATGGTTGGCAACGCTTACCTGAGAGCCACAACCCCCTTTTGTTGGCAGTACAGGGGACCAAACAGAAGCCATCCTGGAGTCAGTTTTGCAGTGCAGTCCCGAACAGTGCTATACCTTTCTAAGCTCATTGACTTCAAAGGATTTTGAAAGGTACAGCTATGCTTAGGGTTGCACTACAAAGTTAGGAACCTTCTATTTCCAGTCTTCTTAAAATGTCTCTTACTTTTATGTGAGCAGTGGTAACCATACCCGTAAAAGAACACCCAAAGGGTTTTAGCTAAGCATTTTAAAGTCCTTTTGCTTTCATTGGGAGAAATATAAATACATGGTTAATTTTCTAATTGTAATCAGTGAGCTTAGAATTTTAGTTGTGTCTTGGCCTGTATTTCTATATGCAAAAATTGTGGCCATTATAGAACTGTTGAAAAAAATGCACTCTTATCTAAATTACATATTCAGACGTGTGGGAAACAGCCTTACACCCAAGGTTAGCTGTGTGCTGTTATAGTCAATACAAGGGCATAAAAACATACACATAACAAAGAATGAGATATACTTATAATAATGGGGTTTTATTACTGTCTTCTAACAAGGGTGGAAGGAGTCCTGAAGATTCAGTGCTCCTTGAAGATCAAAGAGGTGCTAAGTGTAATGAAGTAGTAATAATTGTTTATGTAGTTTACTTAAGCTACCTGCATATAAACTGGTCATTGGTCATGTCAAGGCAAGGTTTAAAGAAGAAGCATCTTCATGCTGTTTTAGACATTGCTTCATGAAACTCATCTACAGCTGCCTTAATGAGATCTCAGATCTAGCACATGATCTTCTTTTGGGAGAATGGATGGGAAGAACTCTAGGCTGTAAATTTCATGTTATGCCTTGTTTGTTTTCATTTCCTCACAAAATCTTGTCCATGGACTTGCAAAACAATTGTATTGATTCTCAATAAGGGGAGGAAGAAGTGAGTGACGGTAAAGGAAATAGCCATTTTAAAAGACCAGTGATGAATCAGTGGACGTATTCAATACGTCTTTGTCAGTGAAAGAACAAATGCCAGTTAATCTTGTTGGTTTTTGTCATCTGTTGTCAAATAGTATTGGAAACACAGGAGGCTGGTCCTCAAAGGGATGTGAGCTGTTTTCCAGGAATCACCGCCATATTGTTTGCCAGTGCAACCACATGACCAGTTTCGCTGTCCTGATGGATATTTCAAAGCGTGAAGTATGTGATGATATTGGCCTTCTTGGTAGAAACAATTATTAATTGGACTTTTAAAAAAGTGTTTTGCCTTTACTTTGATATCCAAGCCTCTGGTTTGTCAAGATTTGGTCCCCATGATACCCTGAAGCCAACAGGAAACGTCAGGGAGACTTTTTTTAGTTATCACTTCATAATGGAAATCTGTCTGAAGTTCCAAAATAAATAATAAAAGATTATCCGCATAAAAATAATTTTAAATTCAAATGAGTTATGTATAAAGCCATGAATATTATTATTTTGTCTAATGGCACAAGCCAGAAGTTCCAAACATAAATCAAAAATAAGAGGGGAGAGAGGGCAGCCCTGTCTAGTACACCTTTCTAGAGGGAATGGTGTGGAAAATATGCCATTGGTCAGCACTCTGGACCCGGGAGATGAATAAGGATTTCTAATCCACTTCAAAAATTCATGAGGAAAACCAAATTTAGTCAATGTAACAAAGATAAATTTCCAGTTTATTTTTTGTCAGAAGCTTTTCCAGCATCAAGTGAGATAATGGCAACTCAATCAGATCTGCTGCTATTTAAAGCAATCAGATTGATAACCAGCCTACTATTATCAGAGCCTTGCCTACCTCATATAAATCCTACCTGGTCTATGTGTACCCAAGTTGCAACAACTTTTTGAAGTCTGTTAGCAAGAATAGCAGTTAATATCTTAACATCTACATTCATCAGAGAAATAGACTGAAAATGTGCACATTGAGTGTATAGTCTTTGCCGAGTTTAGGAATCACAGTGATATAGGCAGCTGATAATGCCAGTGGCAATGGACGATACTTAAACATCTTGCTGTACAATTGATAGAGTTTTGGAATGAAGAAATCTGCAAAGGTTTTATACCATCCAATAGGTAACCCATCTAGTCCTGAAGATTTACCACATTTTGTTCTCTGTGTGCACTGGTCAGAGCAATACTTGCTCCCTTTACTCCCAGACAATGAGGACTAGAAACAGTGTTTATATTAAATCAGAAAGTTTTGTAATTTTACCATAGGTATATGCTTTGGGTCATGCACCAGATTCCTTCAAAAATTTTGTGTGGGAAACCAGGGATGAATAGTGCTCATTATAGGCTGATTTACCACAAGACAAGTGACTTTTTAAATTAGAGCCTATGGACTGTGTTCATGGATAATTTAATCTTTAATGCATGGGATTATACTTGTCCTTTTAAAGATTATATTACAACTCCTATAAAAGGGTTGGTCACAAAAGGATTTAGTTGTGTTTATTAATCTTGAGGGTTTTCCTCTTGGCACAGGATGGTTTCCTATTGGTATGGATATGCTTCAGGAAGCTATAAATCTAGAGGGGGAAAGTAAGAACTTGTTAAGTAGTTTAAAATCCATTTAATTGTGGTTTTCTTTTTAATGCTTTTTTTTAAAAAAAACCCTCCAAGTGAGTTGAGAGTCCCTGACATTTTAAAGGCTTATTTCGGTGCCATTTTTATCCTACTGTTAAGATTGAGTCATCAACCTTCAGACTTCCACACACTGCATGAACAATTTTTGTTCTCAGATGGACTACCAAATTGGTTTTGCTGAGATAAGGAACCATAACAAAAATAAGAACCACCTTCAGCTATTCTTTCATTCCACAGAACGGTGAGGCACTTCCTCTGAAGATTATCACCTACGCGACTGTCTCCATCTCACTGATAGCACTGCTACTCACCTTTATTCTCCTGGTCCTGATCCGGACTCTGCGGTCCAACCTGCACAGCATCCACAAAAATCTGGTGGCTGCCCTGTTCTTCTCGGAACTGGTATTCCTGATAGGAATTAACCAGACAGATAATCCGGTAAATTTAATTGCAGCAGCTTTTGCATAACATGCTGTTTTCCCCGGGTGTTAGCATTTTTCAAAGTTTAAATTTCTTCAGGGACAGTCTGCCTTGCTACCAATCCACAGGTGGCCTTGTTCTCTCTTAGAACAATTTGGACCAAAGAGAAGCACAGGAGCGTATTCAGCTTTAAAGTCGTGCTTCCCTCAACACCAAAACTATCAGAAGTGATTCAGACACAGTTGCAGTTCAGGTACAAGGAAGATTCCCCACTCCCACCCCTGAAAGGGGAAAGGGGGAGCCCCTTCGGAAGCATTTTACTTTTACAGGGTCTTTTAATCAGGAGCCTATTGCACAGAAGAGGGCCTCTCTCGGAAGCGACTGGAAGAAGACCTGTCAACAGTGTGTGTGTGTTTTCCCAAGCAGTTATTAATCCTTCCTAGTGGAATGAGGATTGTCCCTGGAGTCACACGCTGATGAGCATGAAAAGCCAAAGAATGTGGAAGTGCAGACAAAGGGGAGGGGCTTGACATACAATTTTGGCTTACAGGTTTTGTAAAATACCTGTCACATGGAAGGGGGAGATTTTGGTCATCCATGGATGACTGATAGACAAAAATGATTTGTTTTCTTTGTTGCATACCTGAAATTAAGCAGTTTTCATCATTGTGGCCTGTATGAGGATTTTAGAAGCCTTAGCCACAAAAAAGGGGAGTGTTGCAGTAGAGGAGTAATAGCTTTTAAAAAATTATGAGTTGTATTTTTGGCTTTGCTTAAACAACTGATCAGAGCAACCCAAAACTTAGATCTCAAAGATTGAGGAAAGCCTGTCTGGTTTCTAGAGGAGATTCCGTTCCTCCCTAAACCCTTTGTGTACATCTTGATTAGTTCAAGAAGCCAAATCCCAATCTGTTCATGTTTTCCTAGCAGTCCAGTAGCACAGAATACTGTGTTTGATCACTGGCATGGCCCTTTTCTTTTTTCAGACTGAGTGGCTCCTTCATAACTTATGACCCTCAACTTTGAATGCAGCCATGTATTTCAGCACACCAAGTGCAAGATGCCTCCAAACAGCAGTTGCTGGAGGAGGCTGTGGCCTTGTGCTTTCTTGTAGGCAGATGCTTCTAGAAAGCCCAAAGATGCCGTTCCATCAGCAAAATGGCATTTACGCTGGTAGGATGGCACTACTTTAGCAGAGGAAGAGAGGATGATGTTCATTGGTTCCCTTCTCTCATTATAGGGGGCCAGTTTAGTGTACTGGTTTGACTAGTATCTAGTAGACCAAGGTTCAGATATCCACTCTGCCATGAGAGAAGCTTGCTGGAGACCGGGGGGGGGGCAGTTGCACACCCTTAGCCTAACCTGCCTCACAGGGTTGTTGTTAGGATAAAAAAGGAGCGAGGAGAACAACATAGGCTGTGTTGGGTCCCCATTTGGGAGAAAGGCAAGGTATAAATGAAGTAAATAAATAGTACCGTGGAGCAGGATTTCACAGTGCTCAGTGGGCTGCAGCATGAGGGGGAAGGCAAAGAAGTCTCACTTTTGTCAGCTTTGGATTCTGCCCTCATTTATATGGTCCTTTTGGTCTGTTCCATCAGGGCTGCATCCTTATGCTTGGCAAACTCTGCCCTCCTGTATTTGCAATTCCAGGCAGGCAAAAAAATTTAGAAGTTTGTTGGGTTCCTGGCAGGCCACCATATGTAGCTAGCAGGCTGCATTCTACTTGGTAAGCCACAAGTTGTGTAGGTCCATCTTGGGGAGCCCCACCGTTCAAAGGGAGGCTCCCCCACATTCAGGAATGTTTCCATGACACTTTGCAATACAGCATGGTGGTCTGCTATTCAAAGGTTGGGGGGGGACTAAGCAGGGCCTTATGCATTTCTGAAGTAGTTCCTTGATCATGGTTCTTACTGGGGTTTTTGCTTAGCATCTATCCAAGATGTAATTTGTAGTGCTAGAAAGTCTTATGGTTGATCAGAGGTACCTCTGACTGACTTGGGTCCTTTCCTTTCCCCCAGTTTATGTGCACTGTAATTGCCATTCTTTTGCACTACTTCTACATGAGCACCTTTGCTTGGATGTTTGTTGAACAACTTCACATCTACCGCATGCTGACTGAAGTGAGGAACATCAATTTTGGACACATGAGATTCTACTATGTCATGGGCTGGGGGATTCCTGCCATTATAACTGGTAAGGATGACTGGCAACAAACACAGGGGTATAAGCAAATAATACTTGTGGTGTTTCTGTGCTACAAATGATCCTTCCTGCCTGCCCTGTGTTTTAATTGTTTTTATGTGTTTGTCTATATTTTAGTTCTGGTTTTGTTGGTTTAATGATGTGTGATTGTTCTCTTTGGTTGGTTTTAATAGTTTTAAAATTCAATTTTAATGTATGTTTTAATTTGTTAGTCACCTTGGGTGGCACTTGTGAGGACAGAAGGGTAGAATACACATTTTGTAAAATAAATAAATGCCAGATTTCCAGTGTTCCCTCTAAGCTGAGTTAGTGTGAGCTAGCTCACAATTTTTTGTCCTCCAGCTCGCACATTTTTGTCTTAGCTCGGGAAGGATGGCTCCAGAACAAAACTAATTTATGCAGTAGCCTAAATTGCTTGCTCACAGCTTTAATGCCAATAGCTTAGAAAGTAGAATTTTTGTTCACAGGATCCCACAGCTTAGAGGGAGCATTGGTTATGACCTGAAGAATCCCAGGAGTTGCAGATTGATGAGTGCTGGATATTCTCTTCTAGAGATCCCCAGTGCTCCTGGCAGACATTCAGTTCCCTCAAGAGGGAGCATGCTCATTGAAACAGTTTAAATCTGTCAGGTAGACACGCCCTGTAATTTCTTTCTTTGCTGTTTACCCAACCTAATTCTAGTAATAATCTCATTTTAGGGGTTATCCTTGTCAAGGATATGTTTAGATGCTATCACCAATTCAAGGCAAATTAAACCATGGCAGTTAGAACTTCTACTGGATACGCTTTGCCTTAATTAAAGTAATTGCTATGTGAATAAAAGGGCATATATGTTCAGGTTGAAACAAGAGCATTACACATTCCTCAGGAATGATTTAGCTTGCTTTATTATAATTAGTTCATTGTTTACAATTTGTGTCTCCGAGCAGAGAGACAGATAAAGAAATAAATATATTCCAAGTTTCACATGCACTGTGGAAATATTGGGGTATATCCAACCATCACGTTTTGCGGAGCGGGACTTTCCCATTTCCCCCCTATGCTGCAGTCCACTAAGTCCCACAAATATTTGTTTCCAGGAGTGAGCTAACCCTCAAAAACAGCATTGGGATACAGCAGGGAAGGAGGGAAATGGTGAAAATCACTGCCCTCTCTTCTGAAGACTTGTCAGCATGAGAGCCAGTGAGGTGTAGTGGTAGTATCACACTAGGATCTGAGAGGCCCAGATTTGAATTTCCGCTCTGCCATGGAAGCTTGCTGAGTGATCTTGGGACAGTCACACACTCTTAGCCTAAACTACCTCACAGGGTTGTTGTGAGGATCAACTATTCATATTTGCATATGACAGGAGAAAATGGAGAAGGGGAGAATGCTGTAAGCCACTTTGAATCCCCATTGAAGAGAATAGTAAAGTATGAATAAAGTAAGTAAATTAGTCTTTGAAATGGTATGATAGGATACATGCCATTGTTTTTATTGCAAAGGGGTAACCATACTATGCCATTGTGGCAAATCCAGTGGCACCTTAAGACTAACAATATTTAATTTTCAATATGAGTTTTTGCGAGTCATAAGCCACTTTGTCAGATAGATGTGTGGAGGAAAATCATACCAGGAAATATTATTTTCCTTCATTTATCTATTTGACTAAATGGGCTGTGACGCAAAAAAGCTCATATTAAAATACAAGTTAGTCTTTAAGGTACCACTGGACTTTTTGCTTTATTTTGCATGCCATCATCTGAGGCACACAGCAAATCTCTTATCACAGAAAACTTGAAAGAGTAGGAACGTTAATGTTAATAACTTTTTAAAAAAATCACTGTTGCTGCAATAGATCTGTTTTTTATTGGAAATACTATTTTGATCTTTGTAAGTATTTTCAAAATTTGAAGTCAGAGGAACAGTGGAACCTGTAAACTGCCTGAGGTATATGCCTTTTTAACCTGCATGACAGGCACTGACATCAACAGAGGTTTGGGGATGTGGGCGGCTACTGACTATTTGAGACAATGAGGGAAGGTAGTACTGGTCCGTCCGAAACAGGGTAAGAGCTACATTTCACCAACTCCCAGCAGCTGGGGAGAGACTGTCTTAGGTTCATTTACTTAAAATCTTCTCAAGTGCCTTTCTCTGCACAAAGAGGAAGCAGCCCATACTGTCTTTGGCAGCCCATTTTAAAGCAAAAGAGCCACCACATCTGTGCACATCTGAAGTGCATGTGAAGCCCAAATGGATGGATACCTACACATACCGTGCTTGTTGCACCCATCCATCTTAATAACTGAAGCTTTACTGTGTATGTCCTCGAGAAAGAGCGAATTATGTGATCAACATCAACACATTGACTCCGCTACCTCCTCTGCGGTTGCATTTTGCACATTAAAAAAGCATTATGTTAGTCTGTTCATCCAAAGCTAGAGTTTAACCAGTCCTCATTCCTTGTATATTTTTACACATTAACTAATGGGACAAAACAGAATATCTGCCATAAATAACCAACAGGGTTGTGATTCAAAACAGAATACGTTGTTCTGATAGTTGTTGTGAGTCATGTATAATTTCCCAAGGAGTCAAGAGAGTATGGAAGGCCCAATGGTTTCTGTTTGTAGCTGGAATGTACAAAAAAAGGAAACAAATTGAATTGTACTTTAAATAACTGCAGTGTTAGTAATCTGGAAAAAATGTACACGATTTGGTTTAATTCTTTGTTTCCAGGTTGCAGTTTCCAGTGACATGGCAACTCTTGACAAAGATTGCTATGCCAAACTGTGTGGAGCCCTATATCTACTCCCACAGACTTCCTGAAAATATTGATTAGCTCTTAGCATTCTGCTTCCTGTTTTCGTAGAATCAGAAATTAAGATTTAAATTATCATCCCAGTTGGTTTGCTGCATCCCAAATGGTAGAATGCATATCCCTCTTTATTTATCCTGTGAACAAAATAGGATTTTGTGTCTGCTTGAATAGTTTGGGTAACAGACTGTCTGTTGGCCCAAGACAACATTTCTATGAATGTGCAGGCTTGTGCTGGAGTTTTACAAGAGGAGGCATTTTAAAAAATGAATTAGCATACACAAAGGTTGTAAGGTTTGAAATAGGAATCAGAACTCAAAAGCAGCATCTAATAATAAGAATCTGGTATGATTTGGACGCTTCAGGAATCAACATGTGCTGCATTCACACCCTGTTGTGTATTTGCAAATGGACTGGCTTGTTCACATAGCAGAATTCAGTTGCAAATGTCTGTTGTGGTGCAATGATAGTGTAGTATCCAACTGAGTGTGGATGTAGCCATGGATACGCCTTGAACATTAATTAGTCCATCAGGATGCATTGCACCTGAAAATCAGATGGAAAACTTGTAAAACTTAGGTTACTGAGAAATAAACCTCCTTCATTATTTTATCTTAGAAAAGGTCTTGTGATAGCACTAGTTGATTCAAACTTGAAACTGGTTACAATACTACCCGTTTCTATTCATAATTACCAGACAAGTATGGCTAAATGGAGAGAAAATGTCTGAAAACTCACATTCTATCAATGTGTGAAATTTTCCTACCTTCCTATAGTCTAGATTTCTTTCCTCTGCAATATTTTGAGGTCCCGTTTCTATCTCAAGTTGTTATAATGCTTATATAAACTAGTGAGGCTATATCTGAGAAGTCTTGATGCAGATTTCCCCCCCCCCCCCTTCAGTTTGTTTATCTGAAAACACCTTCCATGTGACAGATAGCTTATAAGTCAGAAACCATAGGTAAGGTGTCTGGTATCCACTTGCTGATATTGTGTTCCTTGTTCTCAGAAATGAATACTCTGTACAAAAAAAAAAAAATACTGTATGCCTTCACATCTTCTTTTCCTTTAGGGAGGTCTTTCATCTAGACTCATGGGCCCTTTGGGTTTCTCAGTGTTAAGTGGAAACTTTAATTACCCCAGGAGGGCAAGATATCATTACTGAAACCTGGAATAGTAGATAAAGTTGGAGATATACATTACAAACTTCAGGGTTTTTTTAAAAGCCAGTGAGGTTCCTAATGCAGAAACTGTCAGGGAAATTGTCCAAATCATTGCGCATTTACCAAATTATCTTTGCTGTATTTATTCTCATCAGTCAGTAGCACAGCTTCAGTTTTCAATCCATTTTAGATAGGAATTATCCCAAGTCATTCAGCTTCACCAGTTGAAATATGTGGGGTATTAGTGCATATAAGAATATACACAAGGGAAACCTTTTAGACTGTTGACCCCAATTTCTACTACATTTGAATTTTTGTTGAGCTCTGTCAAACATGCCCCTTTTGTGGTGTTAATGCTGCTAATGATGGTTTAACACAACAGATTAGATACTGAGGACCACTTCACATGTTACAACAAAAGTTAGGAACCATATGCCCTGTCTGTAGATAACTATGCATTTGAAGGGTGATCCTTGAGTCAGAAAGCATCAGATAATGGTATGATCAGAAACATAGGCCAATTTTAGCTCCTGGAGGCATGTTTGCTTTGTGTTTTTGGACAAATTTATTTCATTTTATGTATTCAATTAAGATTCCTCACCTTATTATCAATCAAAAAGTAGTTTACAAATAAACAAGCTCTTTACGATTTTCAAGCATTACCCCCTAAAACAGTTGCCTGGTGCTGGGTAGAACTCTGGGATCCCCCTTTTTATGTAACATTTTGAATTGGTCTTAACACAAGCCTGAGAAATATGTAAACAGCACAATGCAGGGATCTCCAACCCTTGTTGAGCCTGTAGGCACTTTAAGAATGTTGAGGATAGTTAGTGGGTAGCACCACAAAATTGGGAGAAAAGATTGCAGAGGCTGAGAAAGGAGGAAAGAGAGAATGATTGCGGAGAACCTACATGGAAATGGTTGTAGGAAAGGGAACAGAGCAAACAGCAGGTTGAGAAAGCAAAACCTAATAGAGACCTGAAGGAGAAATGGGGGTAGCAGGGGTAGCTGTCAAAGAAAGGTCCATGGCATTGATGGAAATCTGAAAGATAATTTAGAGAACTGAAGGGTGTTTGGATGGAAAGAAGAGATTAAGAGCACCATAAGACCAAAAGGGTAAGCATTTAGGTGAAAATCCTTTGGTTATCTCATTCTTGTTGAATTTTATAATAGGTGGACTACGTGCCTAAAAAAAGGTCCCATTTTAATTTATAAATTATTAGCAAGATAAGGTTTACAAAATGAAAAAAGTTCATTTTCTGCCAGCTCATAGTGGAATCAGATGTTTGGCCGTAGTTTGATGCAAACTCCACAAATAGATATTCTGTCTTGGGAAGCAGACTATTTCTGCAAAGTACTACTGTACTTCAATAGACTTTCCCACAGTACCCAATGGTTAATTATTTCTAGGTGGTAACTCTTTCAAGAAGGAAAGTCCATACCTTTTACATAATAGTTATTTGATACACTGTGTAGCGATTTGAAATATGAATCTTGAATATTGGTTGTGGATTCCACACATCAGAGAATTTCCCTCCTTTTGTGTTGCCCTTTAGGTCTTGCAGTGGGTCTGGATCCAAAGGGCTATGGGAACCCAGATTTCTGCTGGCTCTCTGTCCATGACACCCTCATCTGGAGCTTCGCAGGGCCCATTGTGATTGTTGTGGTTGTAAGTATTGCGGAGGTGACTCTGCAGGGCAGCTGTAGCATTTGCAGAACTCAAATGATGGCTGTCATGCAGCCTGAGCCTTTGATAATCTCCAAATTCACATTTTGCATGCTCCTCCTAACAAATCAAATATACATGTCACAACTGATAATTAATCCTGAAGCTGTAAGAAATCTTAGTAGCCACATTATTACTTATGAAATTGTGTGGTGGCAGCCATTGCTGCAAATGTAGCAAGCTTTTTGTGATGTCTTTATCACTGCTAGTTAAAAAATAGGGGTTCCCCCCCCCCACTGGCCAGTGTTCAAAATCTTGAAAACCAACTTTCCCAGTGAGAGCTGGCTTGTGCAAGTACCAACTGCAAGGTTTTCTATTCTGATTCAGCCTATTGATTAAGCTTTATCGTTATGGTTGCTTTAGGAAGCCTCTTTTACTACAGGGACAAGTCCTCAACACAGCTTTTAGTTGATTCAAAGTGCTTTGAATTAGGAAGGCAAAGTATAATGTGAAGGGAGAAACTTTTAGCGCCTTGCGGGCTTGAGGGCAATTTGGTGAATTCACAGAAGAGCCATACTTATTTTTTTTTTCTCCTTCAAGATCAACATCGTAATCTTCATACTGGCAGTGAAAGCATCATGCAGACGAAGGCAGCGTTCATTGGAGAAAACTGGAGTCATGTAAGTTTGTAGCCAGGGCTGATAGGAAGTAGTTCTGAGCAGTGATCAGATGGGGAGATCATGTCTTCCAAGTGCACCTGTGTCACAGTTTCGCTCGTTTTCAAAAGAACTTTGATTGTCGAACACACATGAAGCTGCCTTATATTGAGTCTGACCATCAGTCCATCAAGACCAGTATTGTCTACTCAGACCACCAGCAGCTCTCCAGGGTCTCAGATGCAGAACTTTTCACATCACCTACTGCCTTGTCCTTTTAACCAGAGATCCCAGGGATTGAATATGAAACCTTCTGCATGCAAAGCAGGGGCTTTTCTACTGAGCCACAGCCCCCTCCCTCCCTTTCTTCACCTCATGCTCTGCTACTGTGAACAGATAATAAGCCTCCCAGAGCCAGGAGGCAACATCAGGGGAAGGCCTCAGTCTCTATGCTCTGTTGTTGGCCATCCAGAGGAACTGGCTGGCCACTGTGTGAGACAGGATGCTGGACTAGAACGACCATTGGTCTGATCCAGCAGGGCTCCCCAGGCTCTACCCCTCAAATCTACAGGTCCAGCCCTCCCCTTAGTATTGCCAGCCTCCAGGCAGTACCTGGAGATCTCCAAGATCACTTCTCCAGGAGAAAACGGCTGCTTTGGGCAATGGACTCTATGGCATTATACCCTGCTGAGCTCCCTCCGCACCCCAAACCCTGCCCTCCCCAGGTACGACCCCTCAAATCTACAGGTATATCCCAATCCAGAGTTGGCAACCCTGTAACTGGCTACAGAACTGCTTTCCAGACCCTTGGAACCCAGAACACATGGCATAGGAGGAGGTGCTTTTCTACCTTAGCTGCCACTGCATAACCCCAAATCAACCTAAGTCAGGGGTGGAGGGAACCATACCTGTTACCATGAGGCTGTCCTCCCATACTACCCACTTGGGGCAGCAAAATGACTTGAGACAGACCTGCCTTATAGCTAAGCAGAAGGAAATAAACATGGCTTACCTCCCTCTATTTTCCCCTGCCCTCTGCTATCCCACCAGCCACAGCCAGGACACTCACCTGGAGCTTCCTTCTAGAGCTCATTGTCTTTCTTCCCACAATGGGCCTTACTCCTAGTGCTCTTATAATAGCAAGATTGCAGACATTTTGCTTGTGGGGGGAGGGGGGCACTTACAGTGCAATCCTAAGAGGAGTTACACCTTTCTGGGTATGCCTAGAAGGGTGTAACTCTGGTAAGGACTGCATTGTTAGATTTCAGTCTTAAGTCTTCCTGGGGAGCAAGATTCATTGACTTACTTGGAACTTAGTTCTGGGTAGAGCATTTGAGGATTGCTCCCATAATCTTAGTTGAGTTTCATTCCCTAACTTTGTAATTTCTTTCACCTTTACATTACGTGATCCCCACAACAATACATTTTTATCCATAGCACTGTTGCAGTAGTTTACACACTAAAAGACAGTATAAGAAATGCCTTCTGGCTGAAGTTGACTATTATGCTTCTTTTGACAGCATAGTTGCTCTGGGACATAAGTAAGCAGGCAAAACCATTAACACTGTTTTCTTGTCCAGTCTAGAAATGTGTCTCACTGTCTTTGAGCTAATTAAAGGCTAGTATTTAATAAGTATTTACATTGTACTCACTGGTGAAAAGGCACTGAGTGATTCTATACAGTGGCGTATCTTATAATTCACTGACTGTATGCAAGGATGCAAATCTTGGTGATACAGTGATTGGTGGTGATACGGAAAAGGAGAATGAACAGAAAGGCAAAGAAAGCATACAAGCTGGTGAGAACAGTACATGCTGGCAATTGGTGGGTAAATAAAGGAATTTTGCAAAGGTCACATGGTGATAGCATGCAAGAAAGCTACCATTTAGTTTTGTATTTTTTACTATCATTCTAGATTTCTGTTCTTTTAGAATGCAGGGTGGGCTGAGAATGGGAGAGTGTGTGCCAGGGACTGCAATATAAAACAAACCCACTAAAAATGATTGTGTTGTTTTTATCTAGCTCTGTGCTACGCACAGCTTTCCTCCTGCTCCTCTTGATAAGTGCTACCTGGTTACTTGGGCTGATGGCAGTAAACAGCGACGTCATGACATTCCACTATCTCTTTGCCATTTTCAGCTGTTTACAGGTAAGATAGAAAACTGTGACTTAATGGCAGATCATTTATCTCCTGTTGCCCTAGAAGGCCTCTTGTTGGGTTTTAGCCTATACCTTTGACTGTATCCCTTTGAGCATCATTTAGAGGCAACTTGCTCAGCACTCTTGGGCCATACCAGACACAGTGAACTGCAAGTCTGGAGCTGGTTGGTTTAGCTGTCAAGGGTAACCAATAGAAGCTGCTCCAACAAATATTCCCTCCAGAAACAACCTAGTATTTTGAGCAGAAACTAGTAAACCTTCAGCTGAGACAAATTATATAACATAAGATAGAAATAACTGCTTGGCTAGTTCCCAGACTTTAAGGGAGTATAGCTCCCATTATAGTCCATGCAAGGCACCCAGCCCCCAGGATCAGCCTGTGCCAATTTCCTCAACAATCTCTATGGCAGCCTTAGAAAATAGTGGAACCGGAAAGAGTTACATGCAACTCAGTTGTGTCTGTTTTAATCATGTGCCACAAAGACACCTGTAAGAGCATCAAACGCATGACTTGGGAGGAAAACCAGACTTGATATTTTCACTAAGTAGGGATGAAACCCTAACATATATTCTATGCTTCCCCCGCACACCTCTTCTTGTTCCCCTCTCAAAAAAAAATCTAGGGGCTGTTCATCTTTTTCTTCCACTGTATCTTCAATAAAGAAGTCAGGAAACATTTGAAGAATACTTTCACTGGAAAGAAGCCACTTCCAGATGATTCTACGACAACAAGAGCGACTTTATTAACGGTAAGAAGCCAGATTGCAAAGGAATTTCCTAGTACATTCTTCTAATTGTGTTCCATGCTGACTCATTTGTCCATGCCAAATTGCATCTGGCATCTTTGCCGTGAGTTAAAAATACATCTTGGCTTTTGCATACAAAATAGCAAGCTTTTGTGGAATTCGTCTTCTTAGCCATTCACTTTGTTTTTAACAATATCCATTTATGCAGTTGGCCTCCAGAATTGATGAAATAAATGTGTCTGGTTGCTTTCAGGAGTTACTCCTTTTAAAGGGACACTGTAATGTCTTCTTGTTTGTAATATATGTGATTCTTAAAACGTTTTACATTAGTATCAGCAATGATCATACTAGAAGGTCTGTTTAATCCTTTTTGTTACTATTCAAATGTTACATTTGCAGCAACTCAGTATAAACACAGCACTCCAACAACTGTCATCTCCCCTCTCCCCTGCATCAACTCAAGACCCAGAGGAGGGAGGGAGGGAGAAAGCGGGGGGGGGGGTCCTTAGCTGTAATCAGATTATGCTTCTAGATCACCTGCTGGGTAGTTTCTAATACAAAGAGGCTGTTTTATTGGTTAACATTTGTTATTATGCTTTCCCCCCCTTTTCAGCGGTCCCTGAACTGTAATGATACATATATAGAGGAGCCAAATATGTATCGCACCACTCTTGGGGAATCTACTGTCTCCCTAGAAAGCACCGTCAGGTCAGCCAAGAGTCACAATAGCTACCTTGCTTATATCCTCAGGTAAACTGGTGGTGGTGCATGGCTTTCCGGCCTTTCCTTTTCTCTTTATGTTGCTTTTGCAAATGACAAAAAAAAATAATCATTCATTGTCATTTCTGCATCAAGTTTTGCTTAAGTTCTCCTTGCCTCACAGCTCTTCCGCTTGGTTTTGTGCAGCGATATCTTTGCTTGTTTGTCACTGTCATGGAATTGAATCGACCCGCTTGAAGAAAATGTCGATCAAATGCTTATGGCACTGGCTGCACTAACATCACAAGCAGAATATTATGTTTGATATAGTGTGCTAGAAATTCAGACATGCTGCTGGTGTTACTTCACCCATCAATATACTGACTTTGAAAGCTCTTTTTAGAGATGAAGCTGCCCAGAAGCTCAGCGTTTCATCGAGCCAAGCAAGGGCTGGTCATGCAGATGGCGATTCCTCCATCTTCCACAGAAAGCCCTCAAAATCCAATGGTAAGAAGGATTTCTGGTCAGATTTGTTTATTTATTTTACGGAATTTATATCCTGCCTTTCTGCCCTCACAAGGGCCACCAAGACAGCTAACAAATTAAAAAACAACGAAATCAAAATTTAAAAAGAACCCCATCATTCAAACAGTTAAAACCAGAGCTAAAATACATACCAAACATAAAAATAGCAATTAAAAGCATGGGGCAGGAAGGTGGGATCATTGAGAAAATGCCAAACGAAACAAAAAAAGGCTTCACCCACTGATGGAAGATGGCAGAGTTCTGGTGCCACGACTGAGAAGGCCCCCTTCTGGGTTGCCAACCCACCTAATCTCAGAAGGTGGGGGTACCCAAAGATTATCATTATCTACAACAAGCTGACTTTGCTCCTTTCCAACCACTTTTTAGTGTATATTTAATACCATTGAGTAGGTCAGGCAGAAATGTTTGGGCTCCATTTTGCATCGGGGCCAACTTGGGATGTGACTACAAGTTGGTGCTCATAGTAGTGAAGCCACAAAGACCATGTATATAAGCCTACTGTGCAGGATCCAATTTGCTGGAGAAAGCCCTACAGCACACACATAAGATTGAGTGTGTTGAGAGGGCAATACATATACCATAGGCTTGATTTATGTAATTGTCTGCCTTCCTCTTTTTTCTTTTTTTCTTTTTTTTTTTGAGGTGAAAGAATCATGAAGATTGGGTCTGTGTTCATATGGGCTTCCAAATCATAAATTCCTTATATTTTTATTTATTTGTATTTATTTATTTTGGATTTATATTTTGCCCTTCCAAACGGCTCAGTATATCCTGAGTCACTGAGATTATGAACTAAAGTGCATGAAAGATGGAGAATTCTTATACTGAGTATTCTTCATAGCAATTTTACATTACTCTCTTGTTGCATACAGTGAAATACCCTTGTCAGGCTGTTGCTGGCCCCTTGCGGGGACTCCTCCCTCTGTCATGGCTCTTGAGGTTGCAAAGGGGCCACTGGGGTCTCAGAAAGCAGACAAGGGCCTTGGCCAGCCAGCAGCAGACACCCTCTGAAGTCCGACTTCTCTCTCTCTTAACAGACATCAGGTTCTCCTCCTCCCTGACGCCAGCTTCTTTGCCACCTTTTATGCCTCCCAGTCCTGCTTCACCACCCCTTTTCCCTCTCCCTAGTGGTCCTTCTTCTTGTTGTTTAACCCAGGTCCCATTGGCCAAGGGTGTCTGTTCCCTTAAGCCCCTGTCCCGTATCCCATCTGTTCAGACTGGAGCCGCATCCTCCACTGGTCCTTGCTTGCCATGGCCCTGACCTGTACCGACCACCGTCTCTCCTGCCTTCATACTGTCCTGCCAGCAGAGCTCGTGGTCCCATGACCTGGCTTGCTGCTCTCGGGATGCAGGCAGCACCCACCAGCCTCTCCTCTCTCCAGGGACCCAGCTCCTCCTCCCGCAGTCCACCCCAGGAGCAGTCTGGTGGGTCTCCAGGTGGCCAGGGGCCATCTCTGCTGGTGTGCCACCCCAACATGGAGCCAGCAGTGGCAGGGAAGCCTGACCCTACAGTGCTCCATGGTGGTGGCACCCCAGCTCCCATCACCCCCCAGCTCCCCGGCAGGTAAGTCCAGTCCCAGACAACCCACCAGTGTATCTGGAACTATCTGGAAATCAACAGGAGCTCTTGATTTTAGTTCTCACCATTCATTCAGGGCACCCATTGTTAAAGCTCTCTTTTCTTCCACAGAGCATGATTCCGATTCTGACAGCGAGTTGTCCCTTGATGAACACAGCAGCTCATATGCTTCCTCCCACTCATCAGACAGTGAAGATGATGTTATTGAAACAGAGAAGAAATGGAACTCTGGAAAGAACAATGATCGGGGTCCCCTGCACAGCACTCCCAAAGGTAAAACGGTGACACATAGCACTTGCTGTGTGGATGGACTCAAAAATAACCGATATGCTTCACAGAATATCATGGTCTTACTCTTTGGAGATGTAAGTTTAAAGCCCCACAAAGTCAGGTTGATCATGGACAACTCCCTACCTTTTTGCTTCAGGTTCTTCATTTGTAAAACCAAGAGTGTGTGACAGGAGAACAAAAGCAAGAATGCACCTACAGCTAATGTAGAGGGAACCTTTTGCCAAAGTCCAAGGATTACAACAACTAATAACAGTCCCTCTGAAAAACAAGAGGGGGAGGTAGACTGGCTTCACCAAAGGAAGCACAAGCAATTCCTCCTCTCTTTCATATAACAGAGGTTGAATTTTCTTTATTAGAATTAGTTGTAACTTTTCTGGGTTACTTTATCCAGCCCCAAACTGATACGCAAAGGCTTGGATCAACCAGAAGGCTTCTGTGTGTAGAAGGGATTGCCATCCACAGGTTGGAACTTTCCTGTTTCCCCCCCCCTCTGCTGCAGCCCAAAATGCCCCCCGTAATGCTGCTCCTTGGGTCAGAGGACACCCAGGAACAACATGGGGGGGGGAGCTGGAGGTCTGCTGTGGAAGGGGGAAATTGGCAGACATCCCCCCACTCCCTTGTGCACACAGAAATCCTTCAGTGAATCCAAGCCAATGTAACATTTTTTTGTTAAATTTACATATGACAGAAGATAAAGGATAGCTTCTTAATTCACAGGACCTTTTAAATATGATCTACTATTAGGATTTAATCTTTGGGAATTATTTGCTGATCCTGACACACAAACAAGAATTTGATTTTTGATTGAGTGCATTGTGAGTGCTGAAATTTCTAATTGCTTGAGAAGTAAGAATTAAACTGATAAGAACAGATGACTTTAATTTAGATAATGTTTACGCTGATCTTAGCCAAAAGGCCGAGAAGTGATAGAATCCTGGAGGGTATTTGGGAGGGGGTCAGACAAGGATGTATTTCTTCTCACTGTCTGTTTATTTTGTATGCAAAACATACAAGAAAAACCAGATTAGATTTAGATGGAGGCAGAGTAAAATATGGTGGAAGGAATATTAACAATTTGAAATATGCAGATGACACCACATTACTGGCAGAAAACAGGGAAGACTTGAAATGGCTACTGATGAAGGTTAAAGTAGAAAGTGCCAAAGCAGGGTCAACTGTAAGTCAGAAGTCGGGTTGCCAGGTCTTACCGGGCTTCCAGAGGGGGGCTCCCGGGTCCATGCCTGGATCTTCTGGCATGTGCGCAAAGCATGCGTGCCATGTGATGCTGATGTCACCTGGAAGAGTTTTGGCCAAAATGCCAAAGCGTTGCCACGCGATGTGTCCAGTGTGACATCATCTGGGTAAAATCATCACACTCACAGTGTCGACACGGGAGGGTGTCATTCAGGAGTGGGGCTTCCCCTGCCGGCCAGCTGTCCGGTGGCAGCCCCCAAAATCGGGGGAACCCCCACCAACTCTAGTTGGAAGCAACTTGATGGAACTTCACACACATACACACACAGAGAAGATTGCTGTCATAGGAATAAGCTTTGATGAGCTGCTTTCCCTGTCAGAAAAAGATGCTTTTGTCTTACTTAAACAAAGACGGATATTGAGTTGCAAGAACTACATAGCCGTGCCTCGGGTAGATGTTCTCCCCTGAGATTAGGGATTCCTCCCGTATGGATGATAGCATCGTATTTTTTCTCCCTCAATGATCCATGTACTCGCAGAGCTTATATGTTAGCACGTTTTAATGTCCTCTGCAGTACTTCAAGGGAGATTTTCCAAGACTCCTTACGCACAGAAGCTATGTGATTGTGGAAGAAAGGAAGTAGAAAGTATTGAGCATGTCCTTCTGCACTGTGACTAAGTATTTAGACCGGCTGTTAAAGGGTTTAATAGACCAATATGATACTTATAAGCAATGATCCCTCTAAGCTGTGGAGTCTTGTGAGCAAAAATTCTACTTTGTGAGCTACTACCATTAAAGTTGTGAGCAAGCGATTTGGAAATGGCATAAATCAGTTTGCTTTGGAGCCCTCCTTCCTGAGCTAAGACAAAAATGTGTGAGCCGGAGGCTAGAAAACTGTGAGCTAGCTCACACTAACTCAGCTTAGAGGGAACACTGCTTATAATTCTTTTATTCTTCTTTTCTCAAAAAATGCTGTAACCGTTGAAATAGTGGCAACTTCTTTGTATCTGGCTTCTAAAAAGTGAGATTTGTGTTAACTGTATTGAGTACTTCTTCTGTCTTGTATTCTCCTTAGTGTATAATGCCGATAAAGGTTTGTTGGTGGTGGTGGTGGTGGTGGTGGTGTGGCAGGGTACTGGCACATGGTAGGTACAATAGTAAGCAAAGGATGCCTTGTTCTTCCCAAAAAGCATTGCTGGGTTTATACTCCGCCTTTGTGGAATGCAGGTTTCCAGGAAGCTGGAGAAAACAGGGGGGAAAGGCAGAGGCAACAATGATCTTAAGAATGAGTTTATGCACAATCCATTTTTGAACCAAGAGGTTTAGCCTGATTTTTGTAAGACATGTTTGCATTGGATGAAAAGTTAATCAACGAATGACTGAAAACAGTTGGATTAGTTTTCTGTCAAAAATAGTTGCTAGAGAATGCTGCTGAGAGAACAAGAAGCTGTGGAGAACCCTCTCAAAGTTTCCCAGTTGAAGTCTTCCCCCCCCCCTTTGGTTTGTTTTTTGTTGTGCCCTGCAGTTGATTCTGTTCCAAACCATGTGAAGCCCTATTGGCCATCAGAAGGCATCACAGCAAGTGACGGTGAGGAGCCAGGCGCCAAGCAAAAGCTCAAGGTGGAGACCAAGGTGAATGTGGAGCTCCACCGGGAAAGCCAAGCAAACCACAGCAGCGAGGTCCTGCATGAGAAAGAGAATGAGGGGCAGCAGAAGGAGAACAAGCCACTAGCCCAGCAGAACAACCAGCAGCCAGAACAAAGGAAGGGTAACAAGAAGTTGCATTACAATAAAAAAGGGGAGAGTCACCAAGTTCAGCTCTTGGGAGATTGTAGCTCAGGACCCTTTCATGCGGCTCTGGATGGGGTGTGGTGCCCGGGTGCACTGGCGGGCTCTCGTGCCGGGCCTCTGGCCCGGCGCACTGGCCACGTTTGGGCGATCTCCCGGTATCCCTGCTGTTGGCGCCAATTGGGGCCGACGGGAGGGCTGCTGCCCAGCTCTCCTCGGCACCCTTCCTCTGACATCTCCTGGGGTCCCAGGTGAGTAGAGGTGGGTCCAGGGGCCATCCTCCCGGCGTCGGGGGTGGTCTTGTTGGGACCGTGGGGCGGGGGTGGTCCCGTCATTGGGACAAAAGTATTAGTTCTTAGAAATCCGCTATATCACAGGCTGCTTCCTTCACAGACTCAGAATCCTCCTTTTCAGACTCACTGCTCTCCCACTGTCTTCAGCTGTCAGCCTCCCCCGTCATTCCATCAGCTCCCATTGGCTGCCTCTGGGAAACATGGAACTGGACCTGTCTGTCACAGGTGTGACAGCTGCAGTTCCATGTTGAATGTAAACCCAATGGCAAAACCAAGTTTGTTTTTGCCTGGTGTCTGACTGCTCCTCCAAGCACTTAGCGGAAGGGCTTTGTTGGATTCCCAAGAGTGCAGGTGACTTGCTAAGCTTTTCTTTTATCCGTCAAACCTCATTACCTATAATTTGTACTCCAAAGTGGAGAAGGATCAAACTTGGGTCCTAATGTCATTTCCATTTCGATCACTTTGTCCTGTAGCTGGCATAGCATCTGGGTAAGTCTCAGTCATCTCTGCTGAGAACCACAGAAATGACAGAGGTTTTTTTGTTTCTTATTTCAAGCCTAGTAGTACATGAAGAATAGCCTTGTGAGTGATTATGGGTTTTGCAACTTAAAAACAAATCTCAGCACTTTCTTTTTCTTTCCACCTCAGGCATACTGAAAAATAAAGTCACCTACCCTCCTCCGTTAGTCGACAAAAACATGAAGAATCGTCTACGGGAAAAACTGTCAGATTATAATCAAACTCTCTCCTCCAAAACAACTACCATTGGGACAAACAATGGAGTTCGCTGCACATCAGATTCCGGGGTCACAATCAAGCACCCAAGACGAGATCAGCCTCCTGAGCAAATCAATGGGTTGGCCATGAGTGTCCACGTGGGGACAGGGACAGCAGAGACCTCAGATTCTGAGTGAGTGCCCGCTAGCTACCTCTCTCCGGTTTCTAATGTTTGCTGTTCTTTCCTAGTTTGCACAGACTTAGCAGCACTTTTAATCTTCTCTATAAGTCATTGCAGCTCAAAAAATGCCACCGTGTCACATTGCTGCTACTGCTCTGACCTCACTTTGTTGCAGTTAACCTATGCAAGCTGTAAGCCTGCCCCCATTTGAGCCATTACTGCAAAAATTCCAAACTGAAAGAGGGAAGCACGCAAGGTGCAAGTGCTGACAGGGAAGAGTGACAGGAGGTAGGGGAGTGGCAACTGAGGAGGCTGACTTCCACCCATAGTTCATCTTTATTTTAAAGATCCATGGGGCCTGCTCCATGGGACTAAATCTAGCTTGAGACAATCATCCCAGACATACATAAGGAAAGCTGATGGTCCATCCCTGATTGTAACGTACAGGTAGCCTTTGTTTGTTTCCACACACGAATTTTTCCCTGAGTGGAACACACCATGCCCCCACTTTCCTGGGGAGCTTCCACAAGACACTGTGCTATATAAGAGCTTGACTCATGGGGCATCTGGGGCTTTCCTCTTTAATACAGAGCAAAGAAAAACCACCTTGGTTCTGAATTAAAGGGGAAACATAAGAACATAAGAGAAGCAACACTGGATCGGGCCAGTGGCCCATCCAGTCCAACACTCTGTGTCACAAAGTGGCCAAAAGCCAGGTGCCATCGAGGTCCACCAGCGGGGCCAGAAATCCAGAAGCCTGCCTGCTGTTGCCCTCCCAAGCACCGAGAATACAGAGCATCACTGCCCAGACAAATCCAGGTGGTCAGCCGTGTTGGTCTGAAGCAGTAGAACAAATGTAGAGTCCAGTGGCACCTTTAAGACCAACAAAGGTTTGTTCAAGGTATGAGCTTTCGTGTGTGCTTCGTTGGTCTTAAAGGTGCCACTGGACTCTACATTTGTTCTACTGCCCCAGAAAAAGTGTTCCACCTATACCTTGCGACTAATAGCTATTGATGGACCTCTGCTCCATATGTTTCTCTAATTCCCCCTTGAAGCGGTCTATGCTTGTAGCCGCCACCACTTCCTGCGGCAGGGAATTCCACATGTTAATTACACTTCGGTGAAGAAGTACTTCCTTTTATCTGTTCTAAACCTACACTTATTAATTTCACGGAGTGCCCATGAGTTCTTGTATTGTGAGAAAGGGAGAAAAGCACCTCTTTCTCTGTCTTCTCTATCCCATGCATAATTTTGTAAACCCCTGTCATGTCACCCCTCAGGCATTGTTTCTCCAGGATAAAGAGCCCTAACCTCTTTAACCTTCCTTTATAGGGAAAACGTTCCAACCCTTTTATCATTCTAATTGCCCTTTTCTGCATTTTTTTCCAATGCTATAATATCTTTTATGAGGTGTGGTGACCAGAACTGTACACAGTATTCCAAATGAGGCTGCACCATTGATTTATACAGGGGCATTATGATATTGGCTGATTTGTTTTCAATTCCCTTCCTAATAATCCCCAGCATTTGCCTTTTTTATTGCCATTGCACACACAGTCAACATTTTCAGTGAGTTATCTACCACAACTCCAGTCTCCGCCAGTTCGGACTCCATCATCAATCAGAGCAATAAGCTCCAGCACACACACACCCCAAACCCTTTAACAGGACTTCTTTCTTCTTTTTTTTTACTCTCAACAACTGAGCTGAGACTCAGGTGTTTGGGGGTGGCCATGCTGCAGGGAAGCCTGGCAAGACTGTTGTCCAGTCATTGTTTTTCCTCTGAGGTGACAAGCAGGAAAGGGTTCGGAAGGGGTGGTTCTTTCCATCCATGTGGATGCAGCTCAAGATTACAAAGCTAGCCAAGAATAATTTATCTGCATTTTTATGTACTGGTGTGTGTGGGGGGGGGGGTTTGGGGGGGAGGATTTTCAGAAAAATGTTTGAAGTACATTCCAGATATAATGTAAAAATTCCATATGGCCCCTTGTGCAGCTGAAGTTAGTCATAAGTAACGACTTAATCACATACAGATTGGGGGGGGAGTTTAAAATAATCCCTGCCACAATCCTGATCCAGTTCACAATCCATCCAGGGCTGCTTTTAAGGACAACCAAAGATAACTGAAGAGCTATTTTGCTCTCCACATCATCTAGCTGAGCCTAGGAGGAAGTCAGTAATGGCTCAGTTAAGACAAACTGCTACCCTTAGAACTTAGCTATGACTAACTTCTAACTGGGTTGGGGGCAAAATCCTTTCCCTATTCCAGCCAAATGCTTAATAATCATTTCAGTCCTTGAATGCCAGTTCTGTTCATGATCCATAGTACTCTTCAGCACTTTAGTAACCTTTACACTGCAACAAAGATGAGCCTCTTTGTAGGATGCTTCCTCTGTAAAAGCATGGCTGTTCCCCTGCATGATCATGTACTAAAATGACCAAGACAGTTTTGCTTGGAATTTTCGGCCTCTAACCCTCAGTTGCATGGTTACTTCTTCTCACGAACAGAGGCAGTAACGAAACTTCAATTTGAATCATCAGGAAATCATGACAACCGTTGCACCTTGGGACTACTCTGCTGTGACACTGCTTGCTTGGGACCTCTCAAGTTTCAACGTATTTGTTGCTGCATCATGAGGATACCAAGGATGTTGCATCCGGGGCAAGTTTCACATCATGGCATACTTCAGTGCTCCCAGTTTCCTAGGAGGACCATGATAGATTGACTTACAGCACACTCAAGTGCCTGCCAGCCTGCTTGCCTGCCTGTGTAAGTGGTGCCAAAATACACAGAGACCATGATGGGGATGCACTACGAGAGAAGACTCCTGTTTGGAAAAGTGGACAGAGCTATAGCTATGCTGCGAAGTGGGCCAGTCCATACCAGTGAGTGATTTGTTCTTAGCATCCCATCAGCAAGCCCCACCATTCTCCCCATCTGAAAGATACATTGGGGTTTTGTTCAGATGACACCAGGATCACTGAACTCAGGAGAAAGGAGTTATCACCCCAAGTGCCCTTTTAATTCCTTTACCAGCTTTTGCACCAATTTTTGGTGGACATTTGTCTTAAACTACCATCATTTTGATATAAATATATATATATAAATATATATATAGCTGTAGATAATTTTATATATTTTGTATGGTGATTCTTTAAAAGTAAGGTTTTTGTTTTGTACATTTCACCTATGTGCTGATTTTCTTAAATTTGATAGCAAGAGAGCAATTGTGAAAGAGCTTTGGTATTTTTTTATATTAAAAAAGAATAGCACAAGTGTACTTGAACTTGGCATTTGAATGAAAGAAAAGAAACAAAAGGCATAATATCTGCATGAAGCCCAACCGAGTAAGGGATGTACTTAAGAGCAATCTTAAGCATCGTGACACCCTTCTATGTCAGTGGACTTTGAAGGGTGTCACTCTGCTTAGCAAGTCATTTTAGAAAAGCCTACTGTGTGACTTTGAGTGTCCACATTCATAAGCAGATTTGGTCTGGAATAGTTTGTGGGGTGTGTGTGTTTAATCCTCAGTACAAACAGCCAAACAAAAATCTATCAGTGATTTCTAAGACAAATCAGGCCTTTCCCACTCTTCATCCGCATATAGATGTTTTCCTTGTGCTGCAGAATTCACATTCTGTCTACCTGGGTTTTGAAATTACTCTTATTATAAATTATATTTTACAACAGCATTTGACTTTCGGAGTAAACTTTGTGTAACTGTGGATGCTAGTTACCCACTAGCCTTCACCTCCACCTTTCCTGCCACCCAACATGATTTTCTGTGGGCATTCTGGATGGGTAGCCTTGTTAGTTTATCTGTAGCAGTAGAAAAGAGCAAGAGTCCAAGCAGTGCCTTAAAGACTAACAAAATATGTGGCAGGGTATGAAGTTTCATAAGCCACTGCTCTCTTCTCCGGATACAGCTAGAATGGGATCCCGTCCATCTGTTTCATTTATTGAAAAGTGGAGAGATTTCAGATGTCGAATGACATTAGCAGTCAAATGACAATATTTCCTTCCTTCCTTCCTTCCTTCCTTGCAAAGCAGAGTAAAAAAAATCTAAGGATGCTTCAGTTCAATTCCTCAATGGTTTAACAGCCATTCACAAGGGGTTTTCAATTAAAGGCAAACACAAAAATTTGGACCAAATAGCTGGCAAAGTCTTCTCTTTCTGGGCTGTTTACAAAGGAGGCTTGGGAAATGTAAATATTTACTTCTGCAGAGGATGCCTTCTGGTTTGACTATGAGCCCTTCACTTTCTGGGCAAAGTCCTTCAGGAATTTCACCTACGCAAGCCCCTTTGATATGAACCAAAGTTATGCTAAGGCACATATGAATAGCATAAATTCTGCAAGATGTGAGGTAGGAAGACTGCTCCAAATTTTTCCTAGCTATAAGCTCATTGGTCAAGCCATTATCCTTTTAGATTTTGTGCCTTCTCCTCTCCACATCCCCCTACTCACCAAATCTGCAATATGAGGATAAGGTTGCTGGCCTACCTTGTGTTGTTAATTTCCATATTGCAGAGATTCAATTTTTGCCATCAGGAAAAGGAACCGGGGAAGGAACCATTATGAGTGGAGCAGATCTGCTGCATAATGTTGATTATCTGCTTTAGAGAAAGCCCCTCTCAGGTCAAGGCTTTCCACCCCCAACTGAATTGCAGTGAAAGAGATGGCTTGACAGCTCAGAATGCGAGAAGAAGAAAAGTGGTATGACCTCACTGGTTGTATTGAAATATGTGGGAATAGGAAGCTGTCATGATCCCCTGCGGGTTGCCACCTCCAGCTGCCACCACTCTGGACTTCGGGTCCCTTGAGAAGGCCCAGAGTACCCTCCCAAGCCCAACCAAAATGCCCCCTTTTAAGCTGAGAACGTTGGCGTGATGACCAGGCAGAGAACACTTAAAGAAATGGTTTATTAACACAGTACCAGGGCAAGGAAAACAAGCCAAGGTGCTTTAAAATATATAACAGTGTTTAAAGGCAAAATAAACGAATCTAACACGACCTAGTTCATGTAACTGGTTACTACCTCAGGGCCCACAGCCCTCTTCTGCTAGGCCTGCCTGCCTGCACTCACTCTGCCCAAAGTGAGAGATCTCTCTCTCAGACCTAGGGTTCCCAAGTACTTACTGCGATCCGGCGGGGGAAACATGCTCCCCGGCCGGACCATTCCTGTAACACAGCATGCCATTGCCAGAGCATCACCCAGCGTCACTTCCTGGCGACAGCATGGTGCGGCGTGTCTGTTGTCCCCGCAGGAATGATCCTGCGAAGACGTCTGTGTCCCCCACTGAATCATGTAAGTACTTGGGAAGCCTGCTCAGACCAGTCCCCTCAGTTTTACTCTGTGTGAGGCAAGACTGCAGAAGAACAAAGAACACCGTTTCATGGCCCACAAAGCTTGTTCCATTCCCTCACACAATCTCTGTACACTGATTGGCTACAACCATTGCTAAGCATTGTGGGGGTTGTAGGCTATCTACTTTCCACTCTCACACAGGCCTCTAAACCTTTCTCCCAGGCCTACACAGATCATGGCAGAAGCTGTCCTGCTTTTCCCAGTCAGTGGTTGGAAGTGGACAACAGGATACCTTTTCCCTCTGATGCTCTAAAGCCCAGCTATAAATGACTCCATTGCAACATCACAAATTTTTGTGAAGAACCTCAACACTCTCCTATGGGAATAATTCCAGAACAGTAGTCATGTCAGCTAATTGCAACAAGAGTAAACACAAATCTTTATCTAGAGCCGGAGCATACCCCTCCTCCAAAAAAAGTTGAGAGTTTTCACAGGACCTACAAATTAGAATGATGATAATTCAAGCAAGTTCCTAAAGATAGTTTTGCAGAACCTTCACTAAAGTTCAGTATGTTGGCGTAACAACATCCTACTCTGGCTCATTGATTCCCTTCTCCTGTTCTGAAGCTATGTGCAAGAGAAATTCCCAATGGATCATGTTCTTTTGTTTCTGAAATGCTGTGTTTGTTATCAGTCCCTTTCCCATGTAGGTTAAACAGCATATACTTTGTGTATAATATTAGTTGAAATGACAAAATTATTCTCTCTTCCTTCAGGTGTCCATATTAGGGATGTGCACGAACTGGGAAAATGCAGTTTGGTTTGTGATTTGTGACCAAACCATGAACCAAACCAGGAGGTTTCTTTGTGAACCAAAGCAGTTTGTGGCCTGGCAAACCCTGCTGAAAGGGACCACAGTCCATTTCAGTGGGGTTTGCTGAAAGCCTGAAAAACAGCTGACTGACAGGGAGCAGCTGTTTCACACTGTCTTGTGCAGTACCTCTAAAGGGACTGCAGAAGACAGCCTGAAAAACAGCTGTTTCATGACAAATTCTGCTTTGTGGTTCAGTTTGTGCCCATCCCTAGTCTGTATGTGAGAGCCAAACATCTTACAGCAGCCACAGGTCCAATCGTGGGGGGGGGGTGTGTGTTTCAGTACTTGAAAAGGCATGAGAGAGAAACAAGATCACCTGGTGCTGCTGTAGTAAACCTCATGACAATTTTAAAATGGCGAAATTTTCCTCTAAAATGGTGGTGGCCACAAGTCAAACCCATGGCTGCCATAACATATAGTTTGGCTCAGAGAATAAGCAGGTTCAGACTAAATGTGATTCAGAAGTTCTTCTACAGCAAATGAAATAAAACCTGACAGTAAGCTTCCTCTCTTGGACTGCACAGGTTTTATATATGTTCTCAAGCAGGATGGCTTGATTTAAATTAAGCTGATTTCAATCATGATTTAAATAACCAAGGAAAAGGGGCAGTTTAAATCTCTGATACAAATCACATTTCAACTAATTCATATAATTACAAATCACACAGACGTACTTTTTGCTTGATATAACCATTAGTACATATCTTTTGACAACTAAATACAATAAAGTTTTTGTATTACGCTCAGGAGTATAATCTGAAACCTCTGGTCACATAGTGCCTTTTTTGCACTACAGAAATTGCATTTGCTGAGGAAGAAATTGTGAAATTATAGGGGTTTTGTTGGTTCTCTGCATACACACCCAGTAATTATTAAGCAAGACCACCATCCTGAAGACTGAAGTGCCCTGAACTTTCCAAAAGCAGTGACTGCTGCAATTACAGTATATGGAAAATCCTGTGGATTTCTTCAGCCTATTAATAGTTTGTACAGTAATAAATGCAGTATTACAACCTATTGCATCATATTCTTTCCTTTGATTCAGTAATTTTTGTAGCAAACCGGGTTTGTACTCCGTGTACATGATCCAGCCAAATAAAACTCTTTAAGTCACATTTATTTCCATTACAATGTTGCACGTGTACTTAAGTCATTGTCTTCGAGGTCAGTGGAACTTACATGTGTTTATCTTTGGGCACAATCCAATCAATGAACTCAGCATTAATAAATTACATGCAGATATCATTTTAAACTTTTAAAAAATGTGAATTTATTATAATTGATTTTTAACAAAATCAAATATTTTTGACATTTTAAAAGAGCATAATTTTTTTATCAGAAAGCCTTTTAGATGAGAGAAAGAGTCTGGCTCTTTTTAAAAAATTGCTTTCGTGCAGTGTGAAAATTTGATGTAAAAATGTT